CTTGCTCATGTTCTGGAACATCAGCTTGAAGCCGTTGCACAGAGCATGCATGTCTGGGTAAGGGTTCTTCTGTAGTTCGTAGCCTTGCGGAATCACCTTCACCGGCCAGTTCTGAAGTCGAGCGTGTTCGCCTGCTTTGAAACAAAGGAAAAAGTAGCCGGGATACTTGGCGTTGATGCAGAAGGCATATGCCGAGCGGCGGGGGTTGGCTTTGGTATAGGTCTCGAGCCATTGGTCTGCAAATGTTAGCAAAGAACGAAAGGAGTAAATTCAGAAAACATACCCGTCTCGGTCTTACTGCCTGGCTGGTATTTCTCGTGGTGCACCATCTCATCCACCTTCTTGGCCATCGCCTTGACATGGTTGACAATCAGTTCGTCGAGATCGCTGTAACTGTACCGACCGCCGACCTTGAGGACACGGCCGACGGAGAACTCATTCTCCTTGTCTAGCTCAAGAACGTCAATGTGCTGGTATACACCTGATGCCACCTTCCAGGTGACTGCAAGATGGTCGTGACCCCGGGAAGACGGGCGGATCACAACGTCGCCAAGGCTCTGAGCGCCCAAGAACTCCTCGGCCTGGGTAGCGTTGAAAGGGCGGAAGAGCGGGTGCTTGATGACACGCATGGCCTGGCTGCCACGCTCCGTCTTTTCTTGTAGTGACTGTTTGTCATTGCGTTCTTGCTGTTCATCCCAGTCGTTGAAGCCGTGCTCCTGGTTTCGGCGAGCTGGATGGCTGACCTGGTCCTCGCGCAAAGATGCATTGCAGGAGAAAGTCTTGCGGTTCAAGTAAAGAATCTTTGCTGAAACAGTCTGGTGGATGGAGTATACATTACGCACAGACATAGTGTAGGGAACACCAAGTTCTGTCTCAGCGACAAGGACATCAACTCCGCAGTCTAGCTTAGCCTCGATATGATCATCAAACACACGCTTGATGGCAATTGGGACAACCATGCCAGTGGTGAGCGAGTCAGGCGTCTCGCCAGTGAGCATTGTAAAGATGTCATCAGTGCTGAGGAAGACAAAATGCTTACGCAATTCTTCGTATGGCTGTTGCAACTCGGCTCGAATTGTCTCAAGAGTTGCACGCTTGCGCTGGTTCAGGTTTCTCTCGAGCTGCTCGGCGTACTCCTCCAAGATCAGATCGTTGACACGATCCTGTGCTTCTTCCCGGAACAATTTCCGCATAATAGCGCCAGTGCCGTTCTCGTCAGTCTCGGCCTTAATATCTTCCTCATCCAACTCAAGGGCATCAGCGGCCATCTTGCGGGCAATATCGTAATCTTCAGGATGCACGCGAGTGTTGTCCAGCGGGTCGGCATCGGGGTCGGCGTTCTCAAAGTCGATATAAACAAAACTGGCGCAGTTGTTCCATACCTTGACTCCCATAGCCGGGTATTGCGCATTGACACCAAGCAATTCCACGCGGTTGTTAACGACGCCACCGTTCATGTTGACGATCTTGAGCAAGTGGGCGGCTTTTCGAGGGCCGAGACCGCAAACATATGGCAGAAGGTTGGCTGTCGCGGTGTCGGCCACTGCTTCGTTGAGATCAACACCAACTAGATTTACCATATCCACCAGAGCAGTCTCGAGCTGCTTGAGCACTAGGTCTTGAGACACGAGCTGCTGGCCTGGTTTAAATTGAATGGAGACAATATCACGACCCAGAGAAGCATATTCCTTGAGTGGGCTCTGGAGGTAACGGCCAAGAGCCACACAGTAATGGGTCAGAGGTCCGAAGCCTGGGTTATCGCTTCTGGCGCGAGGGCTGTTGTGATACAATCGAGCAACCTCGTCATTAACGATGACCACTTCCAATGGGTCGCTGACCTCTTCGTCACGGTCATTTGTGAAGGTAGCGCCGCGCATGTCTTTGAGTTCGACAAGCTCAGATAATAGCTTGTAAAGACGGCGAGTATCTGGTGTCATGCCTGAAACACCAATGACATCCGGTCGGCGGCGATCAATCAGTTCCACAAAGGCGGACACACTGTCACCGTCTGCAATGCCACGGCTCTGGTCGCCTACTGAGAGGTCAACAAACTTGCCATTTTCTAGCACGCGGCCATCCTCTTCTGTATAGGCCCAATGAATGGGGTCCCGGCCAACTTGTCCAGATCCAGTAGACAGGGTGAGAACACGGGGCACTGTGCCCAGCACCATGCCCTTGGGCTTGTAAGGAGCCTGATCCAGTCGTTGGGAGAAAGCCTCGCGACATTCCCTGGCGACATGATTCTCACATTCCTGTCGAATATGTTCTTTGACGCTGCGGTTAATCAATTTCTCCAATTTGCCGAGAGCCAAGTCCAGTGCATCGCGGCGAACACGGTTCCACGCATCGGCAAGCTCACTGTAGTTGTCTGACTCGATGTCGGCGTACAGGCGTGAACGGAATTGTTCAAAATTTTCGAATCGGACCTTGACATCCACAAGGCCTTCTTCCTCGGCCTTGAGCATGCGCAAGAACATCTCTGGGCGACGGGCAATGTCAGTGAGCTGCTGGTTACGCAGGTATTTGAATTCCGCATAGGGGTGCTGCTCATCGATGCGGCGCAGACCCTTTTCTGTGCGGAAACAATCAACCACGCCATTCATATAGTATGCTTGGCGGATCACCTTGCGCATCTTGGGGCTGAGGACCAGTTCTTCAGCAAACATGGATTTAGCGGCCTTGAGGACGTGAGAGCTGCTGGAGAAGTCATTGTCGACAAATTGATCGGCCAACTCCTCGGGGTGTTCACTGGGGTCTTCGGTGTACTGCCGGCGCCCTTCCTTGGATGCATTCTGAGCAAATGCATCGGCTGTGATACCGAAGGCCTGCACCAGACCATAAGCCTTACCATTGCGGACTCGCTCAAAGAAGGATTTCCCGGTGGCTTTCCGGCGCTGTGTTTCTCCATTGGCTTCACCATTCACTTGTGTCAGGTCGCGAAGCTGTGAAGAATATTGGAAATGAATATAGTCCTGCACATCTTGAAGCTCCTCCATGTTACCGGCTGTAGCCAGTAGATCCTCCACATTGGAGTCATTCACGCTGAACAAACTCTGCAGACTATGGTAGGATTTTTGAATTGTGCTACGCTTGTCAACCAAAGCGCGGAATTTAAGGTCGTGGTCGAAGATATCCCATAGATCGGTCATGTTGAGAAGCTTTTCAGCACGGATGCTGTATTGAGCAGACTCATCGGCGGGATCGGCACCATGAGCTAGCTCCTTGACGGCGTGGATCATATAGTCCTTGCGGTGCTGGAAAATGAATGGCACTTCCCAATCGTCTGTGATCAAGAATTCCAGCATCTTGGCGACGGAGCGCTGGAAAGGCTCCTTCAATTCTGGCTCAATGCGTTTCTTGAGCAACATCGTGTTAGAAATCCAGACTGCTTCCTCCCGGAATTGATCCTCGGTCAATGTCACATGTCGGTATGGTTTGCGGGCGACCTGGTGGCGTTCAGGTTCATCAAGGAGACGGATTTGGTTGTCATCCTCTGTCAACATGCGTTCTGCGAGTTCAGATGGTTCGAAGACATCCTTCAGGTCCAGATGACGTTCCTCGGTTTCCTTTTCTTCGTCCTCCTGCTCTTCCATTTGCAGTGCAAAGTCATACTCAGTGCCGTCACCAAAGGCAGCGCGCATGTCCTCAAGCGCGTTCTCGTCCAGGCCAGAGATATCAGTCGGCAGAAGGCCAGTCTTGTTGGCTCGAGACGCAGGGGCAACTTCCAGGTCGTCCCGTTCACGTTGGGCTTCATCGTCGGAAAATGTGTCCTCCTCGATGAAATCGTCCATCTCGTCGCGCAGACCGCGGCGCTGACCTGGGCGAGCATACTGTTGTGCTTCCTCTTCTTCATCGGAGTTGAAAATATCGTCGACGCCTTGGGACGGTTGGTGACTATCACGATCCTTGCCGCGCTTCAGACGCTTGAATTTGGACTGTAACGGGCCAGGGTTAGCAGTTGTGACCACAACCTATATCGCCCGCATACCTCTGGGACCGGACCCCGTTGAAGGCCCGGGACATGTTCACCGATGAGTTCCAGATCCTCATCATCCAGATGCTCTTCCTCACGGGGACGGGAACGTTTCTTATGTTGTCTGCGAGCGCGCCGTTCCTCCATTTCCTCATCTTCGTCGACAATGAAACCTTCACGAACCTATTCGGCCAGTATCAGTAAGCAGATCAAGCTTCAAGTCTAGGCAAAACTCACCGCGCGAGCAGCCTCCTCGTCGTCTTCTTCTTCTTCGTCCTCTTCGCTCGAATCATTGTAGTGATTGGAGGTACCGGCACCCTCATGGACCTGCCCATCATAGTCGTCGGGGACCTCCTCATTCTCATCATCGTCCATGAGGGCCTCACCCTCGATCAAATCGCGAAGGCTCATTTTGCCCAAAGGTGACGATCCCTATTCCTAGGGACCAAGGACCGATTGAGCACGCGGCGGGTGAAAGATTCACAGTGCAATAGCGCTAATGCGACACCCGGTAGTGCCGAGCTCGATGAGGTGGTTGAGATGGAAGAGGGGAAAGCGAGTGAAGCAACAGTTGCCAGAGGAAGAATCGCGGCCATCGGCGAGGGAGGACGCAGGTCACAGTGATTGGCTGGCGGTGTGGCTGACCACGCTAGCCCTCTATAGGCAGTTTCCGTGGCTAGGGTATCACGTGCCATCTTTGTTTGACGCCTCAACTGGCTCATCTTGCTCAACTCACCTCCTTTTCTTTGTTATTCTTAGCCATCTCATCCTCTCATTCGTCATACCGTGTGATTCTCGTAAATCTTCAACCCAAAACTTGCGCCCAAAACTAGTGGATCCCACCCCGAACACCTGTTGTTTCATAGTAGCCTCAGTAGTTCCGATTCAAAAAGACATTCTAGTTTTTCTCTTCCCCTGAGTATTCTGCAACTCAACTTGGCCTTGACCAAACTTGATATTTGGCGCCGAATGGTACTGTAGTTGGTTTCTACGCGCCCGCCAGACCCAATCAGCGCCAAGAACATAGGTGATATCGGCTTCCCCGCTGTTAGCTTCCTCTGACATCCCATCGGCTTGGGGTTGTGACTTGCTCTTTTTCTTTGATATTCTTCTCTCTTTAGCCTCCTTGAATCGTGCACCTCCAACAAAAGCGCCATGGCGGACGCCTTCCAGGCCCGGACGTTGAAACGCAAGAACGTCAAGGGTCTTGCTCTCAATGCAGCCCCTAAAGCCACCTCCAATCCCTCCGATGGTGATGCGCAGGTCCCTGGCGCCATCGGGAACACCGAGGCCAACCGCACAGATACACTAGAAATCGGTCTCGAGTTTCGCCTCGATCTTCGCAGCGAGGACCTGGTCACATTGAAGGAGCTCGGCGCTGGAAATGGAGGAACTGTTTCCAAGGTGATGCACGCATCCACCAAGGTGGTGATGGCTCGAAAGGTACAGATTCTCTGTTTGTGTCGACTTGGTCACCCCGTATGCTGATTCCGCATTTCCTCGCATTAGATTATCCGTGTCGACGCCAAAGAGAACGTGCGGAAACAAATTCTACGAGAATTGCGCGTGGGGCACGACTGCAACTGCCCCAATATTGTGACTTTCTACGGTGCATTCCAAAACGAAGCGAGAGATATTGTGTTGTGTATGGAATATATGGATTGCGGGTAGGTCGACCGCCTGGGATGGATGTGAATATGGCTGACAGGCACAGTTCCCTCGACCGCGTTTCCAAAGACTTCGGCCCTGTCCGCGTCGATGTACTGGGAAAGATTACCGAGTCTGTGCTGGCTGGTCTGGTGTACTTGTATGAAGTCCACCGCATCATGCACCGCGATATCAAGCCCTCCAACATTCTGGTCAACTCCCGCGGTAATATCAAGCTTTGCGATTTCGGTGTCGCCACAGAGACAGTCAACTCTATTGCCGATACCTTTGTCGGCACATCTACATATATGGCCCCTGAGCGAATTCAGGGAGGAGCCTACACGGTCCGTTCAGATGTCTGGAGTGTGGGTTTGACAGTCATGGAATTGGCCGTTGGCAAATTCCCATTCGACCACTCTGACTCTGCCGCTGGCAACCGTGCCAGTGCCGGCCCAATGGGTATTCTGGATCTCCTTCAGCAGATCGTTCACGAGACAGCGCCAAAACTGCCCAAGAGTGATGCCTTCCCACCCATTCTGCACGACTTTGTCGGCAAGTGTCTCTTGAAGAAGTCCGAGGAGCGACCAACCCCGCGAGAACTATATGTATGTGTATTTGCGGCGCTCATTTTGGACCATAAACTGACCGCTCATAGGACAAGGACGCATTCCTGCAAGCTGCCAAGCGCACGCCCGTCAACCTCGAAGAATGGGCAATGAGCATGATGAAGCGTCACGACCGGAAGTCCTACCTGGGACCACCTGCACCAAAATCCCTCCGTGAGGCATCGACCCCAACCTCCAACTCGACCTCATCCCCAGCGCCCACATCAGCAACGGGTGCCAAACCCCCACCCATCAGCAAGCCATCTCGCACGCCCCAGCAGTCTCCTTTCCCATCGAACCCAGTATCAAGCGACCTCCCTCTGAACGATCCCTCCGCCAACCACCGCTACTACCCTCAGTCCCAGACTAGCCACTACGTCTCCTCGCGGTCTCCTCAACCCCCTTCCCTGGAGCACCTCTCACTGGAAACAAGTGACGACAACGACATCCGTGCTGGCCGCCACGCAGTGCGTCAGCATCTAGGAGACCCGGTATCTGCTATCGATGCCCCATCTCGCCCGTTCATGAGCCCTCGCTCTGCCAGCTCGAACACTTCCTCCTCTAACTCCCGCACTAACTTGCACTCGGCCACACTGCCTATGCGTCCTGCTCCTCCAAACGGTGCGCCTCCTGCCCCACCAGTCTCGGCCGGTGGGACTCGGCGCACTCAGCCAGGACGTGATGCATATCATTAAGCCATGTACTGGGATATGATATTTTCTCGTTTATTCCTATCTACCTCTCGTGATGGACCTGCATATTTTGAACTTGAACCCGATCTTGCGTGGTTAGCTCGTTATTTATCGGCCATGGACTTTTCTAGCTGATTCTCTCGTTTTCCCTTCTGTCTGTGTATTCGGCGCTTTCTTGAGATGAATCAAAACAAAAAAGATATGAAGACACAAGACACACTACGCCCCCATAGCATTTTCCTTTTCTTTCTATTTCTCTCGTCATTTTTGTCTGGCCCTTCATCAACATCAACTCGCATTCCCATCTACCTGTGGATATCCCTCGTTCTGCCAATGTCGGTACTTTTGTTGGGTTTTTTCTTCTACTTCTTTCCTCAATGATTCTCTACCTGTCTGATTGGAATGTTTGATTTGGCAACGACACCCCCTTTTTCCCTTTTCTTCTTCTCTGTTTCTGTTCATTCTGAACTCGATCTCTTTCTTGTTTGCTGGGATATATCTTCCTGCATTATTCGGCGTACATAATTGCAATTTCATTTTCTTTTTTTCTTTCTAGCCTAGCTATGTTTCAGGAGTTTTTACGTGGTAGTCAAGTTATTCGTACAGTTGGGTCTCTTATATGTGTGGACAGCTCGTCAGTACAAGAACAGAATGTGTTTCACCGTCAGGTGTAAACCAAAGCACGCAATGCAAAGGAGATATCATTGAATTCTTCAATCAATTGTAAAAGATGATACGAAGTCCAGCAAGGTATAGATACAGAGCTCATGGTAAAAGACTTTAACAAAGAAATGCGGACACGAACAGCACCCAGAGCCCAAGACCGAAAGCAAACACAAACCAACAGAAGATCGCAAATACAAATCAAACTCAAATCCCACAGGGAAACGCCTGACACCGTGAGCATGGAATCAATCAAGTCTATTTCATCATGAGCTCCGGCCCAGCTAGTGGGCTAGGACCCGGCGGCGCAGGAGCAGGAACAGAAGCAGGAGCAGGAGCAGGAGCAGGTGCAGGTGCAGGAGCAGGAGTAGGAGCAGGAGCAGGAGCAGGAGCAGGAGCAGGAGGTGCAGCATTAGGCGTTGAAGGAGAAGGCGCAAGACCAGGCGTCGGGGTCGATAGTGCAGATGCTTTTCCACCTCGAGTGCTGGTGCTTCCACCTCGGCTAGAGCTGCCTGCACCACCACCGCGACCACCGCGGCCTTCATTTGCCGCGGAGGCAGTAGTGCCGTTACGGTCAGCGTGTTTCTCACCGTCTGCTTTCTTGCTGCCACGCGGACGGCGCGTTGTACCACCTCGCGAACCAGGTCCGCGCAGTGGCAGGCCGGTATCCTGGGAAATAGGCACAGCGGCGGCAATGGGGACGTGAGGATGAGAAGCCGTAGACCGACCTCGGCCTGTGCCTCGGCCACGGCCACGGCCGCGCTTGATTGTACCATCGGCCCTGTGAATTGTTAGAATCCGTACCATGCTATCATGAAAACCATGAGAACATACCGTTCCACTTGGATTTTCTCTCCCTCTGGCACCAATGGCCCGCTGTAGACAAAGAATCCATCCTTACTAGCAGCAGCCTGCTCTTGCCAGACCATCTCACTGTCATCAACGAATGGGTCATCACGGTCATACTCTTCAACCTTCTTTCGGCGCTTCTTCTTTCCATCGCTCGCTTCGGAGGGTGCACCGTTGGTTCCGACACCAGTACCACCCATCGCAACATCGCCATCCACGTCACTATCACGTTCAGCATCAAGGCTCAGGTCCTCGTCAGCACTCTCGCCCGCTGAAATGCCCTTGGCGTTCTTATCGTTTCGCTCTAATGCAGCACCAGCAGCTGCCACACGGGCCAAGCGCGCTTTGTGAGCGGCCAGTCGCGGATGTAAAGCCGCAAAACCATATTGTTCTTCGGCCAGTCGCGCGAAATTGACAATCTGATTTCCCTTTCCTAGAGGGACGTGGACAATGATATTCGGGGTGCTGCGCGAGTCTGGCGATTTCGCAGATTCATCTACTCCGAATAGGGCGTTACTGATCAAGCCAGAGCCTTGCGGTAGTTGCGGGGCCTCTTTAGCAGGTCGAATGGGTTTAGGCGATGGAGCCTTTGATGCAGGAGTCGCCGTCCCCTTTTCCTTCTTAGCACTAGGAGCAGATTGTTCCTTTGGTTGTTCTTTGGGATCGACTTCCATTACCTCGGACGGTTGGGGTCTGGGTGGGGTCGGCTGCTTTAAAGGTTCGGGGTGCGCGTGGGATTGTGGTTGAGGTTGGCGCATAGCGGGTGGAGAGAGCTCAAGTTTTGGCGGTTGTGATTGCACAGGCCGCTGCTCAGCGGGTGGGTATGGAGTTGTGTAGTGATTCGATTGCGAAAACGCATGCGGTGTATGCACGGCTCCATGAGAAGGCGACGAGATGGGGAGGGGCGAAGGGGCTACGGATGGATGCGTGGGCGTGGGAGCCATCGGAGGCGGCGCCGGTGAAGAGAGAGCAGAGACATGACCAGAGGAGGTACGCTGGAGCGGAGTGTAAATTGGTTGGGAGGTTTGAGGGGGGTCGATGATACTCGAGATCGCTGGCGATGCACTGGCGCGATAAGCGTTATGTGGGGAGACTGCGTGAATCGGGGGACTGTATGCTGGTGCCGGGGAAGGGTTGTCAAAGGCTGACCGAATCGGATCGAAATTTTGTCCACTGGTCCTTTGGGGAGGTTGTGGTTGTGGCGTTGGCGGTTGTGATTGCGGACGCGGGGGCTGTAGCGGTTGTGACAGCTGGTATGCAGCTCCCGGAGCTGTGGGATGTGGGCTTTGGGAGTAAGGCGATTGGGCTGGTTGGGCTGACTGAATTGATTGGGGTGGTTGAGCTGGCTGGGGTGCTGTAGGTACTTGGACAGACACTTGGACAGGGCTTCGGGCGTCTGCCGAAGCGTCACCCCCGTCGCATCAGCGGATGGCTCCAGCTTGGCTTTCTTCCGAGAGCCGGCGGTAGTTGTTGACTTTTCCCGAGGTCGACGCGGAGCTCGAGCTGGCTTCTCCTTTGGTTCTTTGTCCTTTTTAGGCTTGGCGTCGGGCTCGTCGTCCTTCTTACGACGCGACCGTCTGGCGGTACCGGAGGCACGTCGGGCGTTGGTGTCGGGTTTGGGATCAGACTCAACAGGTAGGCCTTCTGTAGGCACCACGGCCGGATCCGTAGACATAGTTGTGCACAATTGTAATCTTATCAAAAGGATGAATTCTGACGAAAGTGGACAAACTGGACAAAGTGGGCAAAGTGGATGGAATCGGTCGCTAAGACGTGTTGTCAGGAATGAAAGTTGGGGGAATTAAGGCACAGATAAGAAAGATCCGAGTTGAAAAGGAACATCAAAAACATGAGAGAGATGGAAAGGGGAGAGGGAACACTTGAAAATGAAGGAAATGGGAAAAGGGAAAATGGAAGATGGAAGGGATTAAGCCCGGGGAGGGAAAGGGAGAAAAGAAAAAGGAAAAAAAATGGGAAGAAAGGGGAGATTCATTACAGAGTAGAAACTACTAACTGAACGGCCAGTCAATATGTCTAGGAGAGTCAGAATGCAAGATATACAGAGTAGAGAGTGAAATCTCAGAAAATCAAATGACAGTGACAATGCTTCAAACTCCCAATACTAATGAGTTGTTCTTACTGAGGTCATTGGTATCATATCCAGTTTCCTGCAGTTGTGCCCGTTGTACCTCAGGTACTTATACAGGAACTAACTATATGGGGCAGTTGATTTGAGGCATTTCCAAAATTCGGAGTGATTAGACTCGAGTTATTGCCGTGTGTCTTGTGTCACTTTGGAGGTTCCATAGCATCTTCTTATAGCCATCAACATGAACACAGTATTGTCTCGCATCCCGAAGCTTATGCAATACCTGGAGTGTCATAAGTAACTTAGTCTACTGTATTGGATTCACGTGTAGATGCGATGGTTAAGTCATGGTACGCTAGCTGAGTGTCTATAGTCTGGACTATATCAAGATTTCGAGGGATACGTCATACACCAAATGCAGAACATCCTGTGTTGAGAAACAGTCCATGAAGTCAAGCGAGGTGTATAGATGCAACTGAACCAGTGTGAGGAGTCCCGATTGGGCCTAGCACATCCGTCATCTACCGCTAACCCAATGTGGTTAGTCCGTTCTGCAGACCCATTTTAGGCTTTGGGAGCCGCATCCCCGCGCTGACATAACTTTTTTTCTTCTCTTCTTTGTCTTGACAACATGGCTTTCCGCGGCGAACGTTTCGTCCTCGATCTGGATGGTGACGAAGGTGCTCCTGAGATCCCCTCTCCATTCTCTCTCATCGGCGAAATCCAAGAACGGACCCCCTCCGCCGTCAAACCCCCTGCCCCAACGCTATCGAGCTCATCCACCGGCTTCCCGGCTCCTCGCCAGCGCAAGCCATCTTCCTTCAAACAGCGACGAGCTAAACAATCCACCAAGCCCGATACGTCTACTGAGGAACCTGTTCAAGATGAAAAGAAGCTTATCGATGAGGAAAACCGGCGACAGCTGGCAGCCATGTCGGACGCCCAGATCAACCAGGAACGAGAAGAGTTGATGGAACAGATGGACCCCGGACTCCTGGAACGGTTCCTCCGCAGAGCTAGAATCGACGAGGATGAGCAGAGCGACAAAGAGCCGCCGGCATCGGCACCCAAAGATGAAGCTGCGTCTAAACCGAAGAAATCAGTTTCATTCGATGTGCCCGAGCCAACATCCAGACCACGAGCACCATCAACAGCTCAATCTCACTCTCTCCAAAAACCATCCAAACCACACCCAGTCAATGAAGACCGCCCACCCAACTCTCTCCCCCAGGACCTTCATCCAGCCTCCGAACAACCCTCCCTCGACCCAGCAACCCTCGAAACCTTCCACTTCCCACAGCCCTCAACACCCATGCCAATCCTCGACCCCTCTTCCCCCAACTTCCTCGCAGACCTCCAGTCCCACTACTTCCCCGAAATCTCCCAGGACCCATCAACCCTCTCCTGGCTCCAACCCCTTAGCGCCGACGAAGAAGACCCCGACTCAACGTCAGCCTACCACCCGGCCAGCAGCGCCATTTCCATGGCCCCCTCGGCAATCCGCTTCTCACTCACAGGCACAATCCTCGCTCCCGAAACCTCCCTTTCTCTCCCAACAACCATGGGCCTGCACCACCACGGCGACGATCCACATGCGGCGGGGTACACAATCCCCGAGCTGGCCATCCTGGCACGCTCGACATTCCCCGCACAGCGCTGTATCGCATGGCAGGTTATCGGCCGGATCCTATTCCGCCTGGGTCGCGCGGAGTTCGGTGATCGCGGTGGGCCATTGTCCGAGGGTTTGTGGTTTGTGATCGAGAAGGAAGGTGTTGTCGCCGGTATGCTTGCTGAAGCGGATGGTGCTGCTGGCCAGAGTACTGGCAGAAACAGGGATTTCGATAAAAAAGGCTCCGAGGGCAAGAATGGCGGTACGCCTGTCGCGTCTGGCGTTGGACGTCATGCTAGTGCTGCTGCTTGGGCTGTGGAAGGTATCTGGCTGTGGCAGAAGGGTGGTGGTGGTGATCGTGGGCTGTTGAAGGAAGGACAGCACCGTTCGTTATAGAGCATACATTTACATTTCGTTCTTCTTTTATGTTTCTTACGAGTGAATAGCTTTTGCATATTATGGATGATGAAATGAGACTATAGATATGGAAATGAGGAAATGACATCTAAGTTTGTTGATTTAGTTCAAGAATATGAGACAGGCAAATGGACGCTGATTAACATTGATATCATAAGAAATCATATTCCGATTCTCTTGACCTACAGTCAAGCATATAAAATACACATAGCATATGGGAATAACTCTAGGGCAAGATGACCCTCTCTCTGTCTTACACATAATCATCACTACACAAACCCAGCCCAAACCCCATTCTATTCATCAACCCGATCCCCAATCTGCACACCCCAAACCTGCCACCTAGCATCATCAACAAAGTCCCTCCTCAACCAAAGCCCCGAAGGCGGCTGCACAGCCTTCATTCCAGGATCTAACGAATCCCGTTCCACAGGCTGTGTGCGATCCAACCAATCAAACAACAACCGCAACTGCCAGATGTGATCACGGACTTCATCCGGATCAGCGCCGCGGCCACGCGCAGACTGCACGATATTACGCACCGTATGAGACAGTGCGAGTCGGGCGTCCACAGCTGAAGTGCGTAGCCAGGGTGGCGCGGAGACGACGTCTGAGGTGATTCGTTCTCCGCGCATTGGGAAGGAGGATGGGAGGACGAGGGAGCGTTCGCGGATGTCGAGGCCTTGGAGGGCGGGGAGGTTGAAGATCCAGTCCCAGGGGGATTGGGAGGGTGAGGCTGTGGGGGAAGTTGCTGAGAGGAGGGTTGCACGGGTTGGCCAGGCGGAGGGGGGCAGGCCCTTTGCTTGGTTTGAGGTTGTTACTGTTGCGGTTGGGAGAATGTCTTGGGTTTCGCTGAGGCCTGTTAGGGTAGAGGCGAAGACGGAGGTTGAGGAGCCCGAGGGGCTGTAGGTTGCTTTGCGGCGGAGGTAGATTGATGGGTCACCACGGTGGAATTTCTCGCGGAGAGCATCGTTTTGGCTGAAGTCTAGGACTAGAGGCCAGTGGTCTGGGCCGCGGATTTCGATGCGTGAGATGCTGCTTGGGTCTGGGAGGAGACAGGGAGCGCCGATTGTGCGGGTTGTTTCGTCGTTGAAGGTTATGGTGATTGGTGTGGAGATAGGTCGGCGGGTGTCGAGATCACGGGGAACGAGGCAGCGGGGTTCGGCGGCGAGGACCCATAGATGGCGGAAGGCTTGGAGATGGCATTTGTTGTCTAGGACGGAGGTAGGGAAGATTGGGTAGAATGCGCAGATGAGGGAGACTACGGCGCGGTTGGATGTACCGAGTGTGTAGCTGCCTCCGCCTAGGAAGAGAACTCCTATCGCCATGTGTGCTGCCATGTGGCTGCCATAGGGTGTGTCGGCGTCGATGCGGCCGTGCAGTGAGCGCAGGCGTCGGAATAGAGCTAGATCACCCGTACCAGCCATAACTGCGGCTGCGGCTAGGGCTACCACATCCTGGCAGTTGCGGACAGAATTGCGTGCCAGCTTGGCATCGTAGTTGCGCACAGGCAGCCGTGAAATGCGGATGAACTGATCTAGATAGAACAGCAATAGATCTCGCGCTTGTGCTTGTCCCGACCCAGCATGGCGGAGACCGAGAGCAAAGCAAAGACCGGCAATGATATTGAAGAAAGGCATGTCTTCACTGCGCAGGCGGCGCACATCGACAAGTCGCGGTCTGCCTCGGTATACCTCAGGAAGACTTGAACTAATCCACTCAGCAGTGGGCTGGATGCTGTCCCACATGATAATATGCCGAGCCAGAGTTCGCAACAGGAACAGATCTGGTCTTACGTAGTCGAAGCGAACAGTTGTATCGGGGATATCAATTTTTTTGGCCAGAACCGAATCGTTCGTCTTCATAAAGATGATCATCAAGGCAACTGTTGCGCCAGCTGTGGCACGGTCAAGCACATGGGCGATATCGACGTTCTTGGTGCCCACAGCAATTGCCAACAGCCGTTCAACAATGTGCATGTCACGCATACCACGCAAATCATCACCCTTGCCAAGGTTGATGAAACCAAGTGCAAATCCTGCAGCCAGGCGATATCCTTCATCACGGAGGTCTTCTTGGGTAGCAGCTTGCTCGTCATACTCACTATTTTCAATTTCAGAAAGCATAACCTCGCTCATGCGACGATGCTGAGAGCCACAGTAGAGCATACCAATACCCATAATTCCGGCAGTTTGAGTCAAAGGCGAAAGGTTCAGCTCAGCTGCCCCCATTGGGAGCATTCGTGTCACATGTACCGAGAGCAGGCGTGTGATGAGGGTATCCATTGTACCGATATACGATGCAGAAAGTCCGAGCAAGAGACCAATAGAGGTCATGGTATGCTTGGGGGTGAGGTACTTGAAAGCAACCCACTTGGCTAGTGACTTGAGATGTCCATTCAGACCCAGGGCCAACAAGAAGCCGGCATGGCGATTGGTAAGTTCCTGTGGCTTGTTGAACAAGATCCATGAAGTGTCGATTCCCTTGGACGCCTTGGAAATTGCCAGGCCGGTGGAGACACCATTGTGGAAGAATGCCCAACAAACTTTCTCTTCTGAAAATGCAGATCTTTCGGCACTGACTGTCACATTAGATGGCTTCATGACACACTGTAGCGAAAAGGACGGAATCGGCAGTTTCTCGGTCAATAATGGAAGCCGTCCACTGAAGGAAAGCATTCCACGGCCCGCAGGAGTAGAAAGAGTGCGGACAGTCACCAGCTGCACAATCTCCTTTTGCGCTTCGAGAAGATCAGCATCGCTCCAATCTGGCTCGGGTATGCACTCTGCCACGGGAGCTTTAGATTGGTTAAGGAGTCTGGCTGCTTCTAGGAACCGCTTATCCTCTTTGAATATCAATCTTGTCACAGAGAATCGATCCGCCTCCGCGGAGGCCTCAAAGGCGTTGATGGCATCGATGTCCAACGCCGCACTGCTGATATAATGGAAGTCTCGTACAGCGTCATGAGACGGTACATGTTGCTGTGGTGCTGGTAATGAAGTGGTTTGAGCGGGATTCATCGACATGTAGAGGTCCTCCCGGTCAATTAATTCCAGAAGCGATGCGTTCCAGGAGGTGGAGGCTTCGATCTGGCATTGCATTACTGCTTCGTATAACGGTGCACTGACACCTTCGGGGAAGCTGTCAATGACACTCTTGGTGAATCCCCAACGTTGCAATAGTTTAATCTTTTCCAAGGGCGTTGATACATCATGAACTTCGGTGAAGAAGCCATTCAGCGCCAATGTCCTTGGTGTGAGGCTGAAACATTCACGCCACATGCGGCCCTTTCTAGGACTTCGCTCGGACGCAGTCACAATATCAAGGAGTGTGACAAATGGCGTCGGGTTTTTGTGAGCGGCGTCCATGAGGAAAGCAAAGATAGATGGAGGAGAGAAAGGTTCTCGAGGCACATTAAGTGCGGAAATTTTAGTATCCTCAAATTGCCAGCGCTCCATACTGGCCATTTCGTTACCGAAGTAGGCATCCTCGGTCCATTTCCAAGAGTCCCAGCCCAGCCAGCCGCCCAGTTGTGCGAGAACAGGAGCAAGCAGACCCAATGGTCTCCGGGACTCTTCCGAATCACAGGTTGAAAGTTTCTGTTCTTCACGGAGCAAATGCAAGGCCACAACGACACTGCATAAAGCGGTGCATCTTGTGTTTTCAGAGAAGAGTTCCGAAATAGGGAGATAACCTTCGTTGCCGGCAGCCCTGACGCCTTGGGGAGTTTGAAGGAATTCACGGCTGAGAGAGATGCATCGAAGCAAGTACGAATTGTTGCGGTAGGTGGATCGGCTCGCATTGGGCTGGTCAACTTTGGGTGTACGCGACGTTGTTGCGAGATCCTCGATTGCATCTTGTTCAACAATCCATCCCCAGGAGCTGTCCATCATCCAGGGCGCTACAACACCTGATGAGCCAGACTCCAGGTCCAGCATGGTCTCCCAGCTTTCGAGATCAAGATGGCCGCCACTACTCGACCTTAGCAAGCCCTTCTTGCGGCGTGTTCGCTTGGGTGTTGGGGTTTTGGGGGCGTGACGAATGGAACTGCTAAGCTGAATAGCACAACAGTCATAGCTGTCCACTCGAGGTCATTTTCAATGTCCTCTTTACCCCGAAGCCACTTGATGACTTCCCACCAGGCGACCATGATGCCATCACCTGCTCTGTCGGAGTCACGCAGGGCAAACTTGCAGACCCTAATTATCTTCTTCACCAGATTATTGCGGGGCTCCATTCGTATTTGGAGTCTGTGTCGTTGCTTGTCAGTGTCCACCAAGTCAATCTTGCCTCGAGAGCACACATGATCAAACTTGGTGAAGACGAGATCGGGGTCAGCCATAACTCGGTTAACGCCGCTTTCTCTTGGGCGTGCCTCGAGTTTGTTGGCAGAGATCCCATGAGGCTCATACAGCTGTAGCGGTATGGGAACCTCGATCTTTGTCGGGCTACCCCATAGGGTCTGCAAGGATAGCTCGCGGTGGCCGTTTTCTGTCTCGCTGAGTGAAAGTATTCGTGAGATGTCTCCATCGGAGATCTTGCAAGCATCTGAGATATTTGGCACATGCTTAACCTTGACCGCATGGACAAGCAATGGGCTCTGGTCGGACTTGTTCTTCTTCTTCCGGCTCTTGGAGACAGAGACTCGATCCGCTTTGAGGTTCACAATGGTCATGTTTCGTGTCTCTTGGTCCATAATGAATATGGCAACAGAAGCAGTGCTTCCCTTTGTGCGCTTCCATAGTCAGTGGAAGCTAAAGTAGAGACCTTCAACCGACGGGATGCCGGCTCTGGTGTGGACTTTTGGAAGGTTCCAGAGAATTTTGACGGGAAGCTCTCGACCTTGTTCAATAGGAGCTCCTCTGGAAGTCCAGATGCCGATTCACGAAGGGCAATGTTCTCAAAGCCTTCTGATAGCGCATCGTTATTAAGTTCTTCGAGGAGCCTATCCACCGGTGCATCCACAAAGCTGCCTGCAGTGCTATAGACAGATCCTGTTCCAGGGGGAAGAGAGCCTCGCGGGTTGAAACCAAAGCTTCCACGTGTGCTTGCTCCTCCTATAGACTGGCGGAAACTACCATGACCATGAGGTACGGCGCTAGACTGACTTCCAGTGGCCAGCTCTGAAAACGTCATGCGGTCCTGACTGGTTGCAAGATCCGTTCGGGCGAGCAAGGAGCTGACACGTCTGGATGTCTTCAGGGGCACACCGACATCTCCAAAGTCCTGCGCAACTCTTGAAGCGAGATCGTCTTCATGTTGCTGGGGTTCAGTTTGCTGACTCTTTTCGGTCCAAGCTCCAAAGCTCTCTCTACCTGCAGTGCGAGCAGCGGGTGTTGTTGTGCCAGTTGCCATGCCGAAATGTGAGCTCCGCCTCACTGACCGAGTGCCGCCTGTCTCCCGTCTGGCTTTGTCTTTTATCGAACCACCAGATTCATCATCTTTGTAGCGTGCAGTCCAAATTGTATAGATGCCTGTAGTAGTATTGAGGGTCACCACTAGGATCAATGGGCCGTTGGTTGGGCCTCTGCTTGTGCCCAGAAGCTCGTCTTTTGGAGAGATGTATACAATCTCATCTAAGGGATCCAGCACCTCAAGCCCGGATGGCCGTCTTCTGGTGCTGTTAACACTACTTTGGAGCCAACGAGAGCTCTGCGCTGTCACAACAAGGCCCATCTCTGAATGAGGATCGATGAGAGAGAAGACTCGAGGTAGGTCGTTGCTCGGGCTGGAATTAGGCATCCAAGAGCTTGGAGCAGAGAGCTTTATCGAAGGACGCCTGCCTTTGCTGGAAGGTGGTTGCATGCCAAATGATTGTGAAGCACCCGGGTCGAATAGCGAGCTGGTCATGAAGGAATTGGGAGGCGCGGTTGGCTGCTCGCGTCCTTCGGTGGGTGATGGAATCTTCCTCTGGAGAAGAAGACCGCGAGGAGTTGCGAAGACAGATTCCACCTCGAAGGGCAGAGGAATTGTATGGCTGTTGCCCGCGACAAAGAAGATATGCGCTTGCGATTTCAGGACCACCACCAGAGCTCTGGAGAGGCTCTCACTAGATTTCTGAGGAGCGATCGCTGCCACTCGTGCATCTCCGTGTAGATCCAATGTCGAGCCTTGGATTTCAAACATCGACTGTTTCCCATTTGGCTGGCTTTGTTTTGTAGATCTCTCGGTGATGGGTGGTCTCGTAGGTGTGTTTCCAGAGCGCTTGATGTTGGCGGCCGCAAACTGTGTGAAGAGAGCATGTCGGATCTCTTCTTTCTCAGGGTCCATTCGAAAGACTCGCTTCACCATCCCTGCGCGGGACCATACAACGCAATGCTTCGTCCATACCAGATCATCGTCCACCGGACCGGTCAACCCGCTTTCGTCGACGCATATCGTCCATTTGTAGTGGTCTTCCGAAGGATCAGGAGGGAGGATACCCTCTGCGACAAGATAGGATACAGCCGAAGGCTCGTGGAGGCCGAGAGATCGAACGGATGCCATGGTGGGCTGATTAGCAGCCGGTGTAGCAGTTGCAATGCGCCGTCACAAACAGTTCTCTGGTCCAAACCGTTGAATTGGTCATTTCGTCCATGTAGCTTAAGTAACGGTGCGCCGGCCACAGGACATGGTTGTTGAATGTCGAAGTTGGAAACGCGCTGGAACGCGGATTGGATCGACTTTCTCGCCGCCCAAAACAACTTCCGTCAACACCTCCCCTCGCTACACTTTTTTCCCTACTCGTCTATCGATCTCCGCTCAAGGCTTGTTTAGGAATTGAGATTCTACTCATCGATCTTTGGGTTGTCTGTTATCCTTACGGTGCCCTTTGGCGCCTGTGCTTGAACCTGGAAGCTCTGAACAGCTCGACAGCATCGCAATTCCCACGATGCCCTCATTCCCAACCACCCCTCTGGTTCGGCCCAGAGAAGATGGCCTACAGATAAGGTAGGGTTGATTGCGGTCTACTCGCAATACTTGAATTGATGCTGATTCTGTGTCTGCAAACTTTTAGCTATCGCCTCCCTCATCGCGTTCACTCAGCCAAGGGCTACCCCTCCGAGCTCCTAATGGCTCCTCTATCATTGTTTACGGTTACGACACCGGATTGAAGGTTGTCTGGAGAGGAGGAAGACGTTTTGCAGAGTCGAAAGCACCAGCGCCTACCGAGAAGCCGAGGCGCGCAGAAAACAATGTGGACGACTCAGTAATGATCATTGATTCTGATGAGGAAGAGCCTGAACAACCAACACAAGTAGAGCCCAGCTACGATTTCAGTCTGGAGGAGACCGAGGTCGATCCTGCTGCTCCGTACGAAGAGATTCTACGACAGATTGATATTCCCCTTGGAAGCCGAGTTCTGGATGTGGCGGTTCCTCAGGTCCTCCCCGAAGAATTGCGCTCACCCCTTGACGCCTTCCCGCCTATTTTGAGAAACACAATTGTTGTATCTGCAGTTTGCTCTGACTTTTCAACACGAGTTGTGACTTTGCCGCTTGCGCCTCCTCACCCTACACAGACCGACCCTGCGAGCTGGCGCATTCGGAGTCTCACGGTCACTGGTGCCACTACTCATCAAGATACTCCCCGAGGAGTGTCTCTGACCTTCACCTGTCAGGAGAACGAGGAGGAAAGCCCACGCAAATCGCGGGGCCGGTTCGGCAATCATGGAAAATGGGATCTCCTTGTGGCCACGCATTCTGCAGAAGGGTCCGGCGCACTGTTGTTGCACCGGATCCCAATCCGAGAGGATTCATCGAGATCAGCCTCCTATCGCTTCCTGGAGGAAGACATCGTTTCTCAGCGACGACTCCTGCCAGCACCTGCACAAACGATCACCTTTAACCCTTCACCATGGCCATCCCCCCGCCATTCGACCCTGCTTGTTGCATTCCACAGCGGATGTGTCAAGGTTTACTCTTGTTTCTCCGTGAAGAAGGCCTCTAAGACTGCGCGACGGGCATCCATTCCTCAGGAAGACTATGAAACTACCGACATGGAAGGTCGGTGGCTGATTAGCCTGTACCCCGGCTTTGAGCAGGGTCCCATTGGACTGCCCCGACGAAAGACAATCATTGATGCTGATTGGGTGCTGGGTGGTAGGGCCGTCATGGTCCTTCTAGAGGATGGCGAATGGGGCGTCTGGGATATTGAAGGCGCTGGTCCTGGTGCTGCCAAGGGCCCGCTGCACCGCCAGACAAGCATTCAAGGTGTCACCGGCGGCTCATTGACTGCCTACGCAGTCAGTGGCCGTATTGTGACGCCGCTTTCCAACAACCAGTCTGAAGCAGAGCAGCGATCCCGATTTGCGCCTATGACACCATCCACAAGACGTGTTCGTGAAGATGGCCTGTTGAAGGGATCGTCGACTGCAGCCAGCCCATCCCACCGCGGCCAGATCTCCGTTTTGCAAACCAACTCAACGCAGGATGCACTCCCCGACGAATCGATTCTGCTCCGTCATGGCCGCCAGAGTGCTGTCATCCCAAGTCTGCTGTCTCTATGGCGGAACGCCGTCCAAGCCAAGGGTACCTTCGATGCCTCAAACCGCTGCCGAGTGTCTCCGTTCCAAGATGTGAACCTGATGGGCCAGAACTTCCAAGCGATTGGCCATCTACCAGCACCTGTCCGCCGTTCTCGCCAAGCACAGCGACAAGTCTTCGATGTCCTCGTGGCAGCAGAGCACCAACTCATGATCCTCGCCCCGGCATTGATCGAATCTGACGAACCGAGCCAACTTTCAGTGAAGCAGATAGCAAGCCCAGAAACCGATCAACTCATGCTCCGACGTGGTGAATTGGATGTGGAAGGAATGGGCCGACTATTGAATGGCATGGCCAACGGAGCGGCGTCTCTGCGCATGGGCAGCCCGATCAAGCGGACTCGTGTTTTCGATTGAAACGGCCATCGGATTTGCCGTAGATGATACTAATACCCATTTCCATTCTATTCCAGTGCTTTCTGGTCTGTCTTTCTCTCCTACTCACATTATTTCTCTCTAGTAGACCATTCGCGCTGTAAGGTGGAGCGCAAGGCGAGATCAATGCCTTGAAATTCCATCTTCGGATGTGAATAAGCTCTGTATCGGATGCGATATATCGATGACCATTGCAAACACAAATGTGCTACGCACGAGCCCTTGATATTGTGACTTTCGTCGCAATCCTCACATCTAACGTTGGAGCTCTGTTCTTGTCTCTGTTCTGCTGCGGATGCCGATCTGTCTCTTGACGATTGTTACATCGGTGGCCGCAGTGGGCGGAGTAGAGAATGGCCAATGTTGGGAGTGAGGGAGTTGGGCATAATGGGACATTCCAATAGCTAGCAATGAATTGACTTCACTAAAATCCATGCATCTATACTCCGTCATACCAGAAGAGCCGCATTGGTAACCCAAACCCCAGCATCACCACCAATACGACCACCAATACCACCAAACCGGCCCAAGGAACAATTACCCCTTTATAGCCTTCTACTCCACAATCTTCCCAGCCTCAGGCCTAAAATTCCTCAAAGCACGCGGAATTCCAGCACAACATGTCCCCTCCGTAACACCATCCATAACACGCAAGTACGCGGCAGACCCACGCTTTTGCAGAAACATGGAATAAACTCATCGTCTTCTCGCAGGAGGAGTATGAGCAGATCGTTCTGCTCGATGGGGACATTCCCGTGCGAAGGAATATGGACGAGCTTGTGGAGATGCGATGCCGTTGGATGACAGAAAAGTCCTTGAAAATGGCAATGGAGAAGGCCAAGCGAGATGGGTTTCCGCGGCTGCGCGTGCTTGTGCTTGTAATTCTATCACGAAGGATCATGATCCTGATACTTAGCATGATACTCTAGTCTCTCACGATTACCTCTCTATATATGTCTCCATATATACTAACATGCTCCCACAGGATCCCCGCAAACTGCGCCTATACAACTCAACACCACACACCAGAAACACCCCACTCAACCGCACCTCCCACCAGGCTCAGGCGTGGGAATGCTCGACAGCAGCGTCTTGGTCCTAACGCCGTCAAACAAGATCTACGCCCAGACAACTACAGGACTACAAGATACGGCGCGGATAGAGCGGTATGGTTCCCCAGACTGGGAGCTCCTATCTGAAGTTTTTTGCTGGGCGGTGGGTTGCGCTGCCGTATATTTATAATGCGTTGAAGTCGTTGCACATGGAGGGTGTGCATGATTGGATATGGGGGATGGGGAGGTGAAGGCTGTGCATTGTATTTTTGGTATGAAGCCTTGGCATGAGAATGTCTGCTCGGAGGATGTTTCCCGGCATGGTGAGATGGGGGTTTGGTGGTGGAGGGCTAATTGGGAGAGGCAGGGGTTGGAGAAGGGGGTTGTGTTCAGGATGAGTTTTCTGGGTCTGGGTGAGATGGATATTGTAAGTTAGACAGAGGAAGTATATACGTAAACGTTGGATCTGCCAACATGTTACAAAAGCTTATTGATAGACCGTATATGGATGAGATATCGATAATGGTATTGATGTCAATTTGAACAGCTCCTATAGTGGATGCATACATGCAGATCGATCTAAGTATATCCATGGCCAGCTATGCAGGTGCCATTTGCGTCATCATCCATCGCATCATCCCTCTACATCTTCAACATCAATGCAACTACACCTTCGGCTTCAACTTCAACCATTGTATCCAACAGCCTCGAGATCCTTCCGGACCGCATCCTCGGTCTGGATCTTCTTCATCTGTGTATCTTCGAGCTTTTCGCCGCCAGCAAGGCGCATCTTAAGCTCGTCGATAGCCCGTATCTTCTTCAACAGACCACGGATCTTCTTATCCTGGGCGGAAGGATCCTCAGCAGGGGCAGGAGGAGCGGCAGCAGGGGGAGGAGTAGACTTGGCAGCACCGTTACCGTTAACGACACCGTTCTTGCCGGCACGGTTGCGGTTGCGGTCTGGGCTAGGGCCAGTTGGGGCGTTGGCAGGGGGAGCGTTATCGGTTCCCTCCTCCTTGGCCTTCTTGGCAGCTTCGCGCTTCTTCTTGTTCTTGGCGGCAGACTTGGACAAGTTCTCGGTGGGCAGAGCAACACCGCCACCCGGTGCGGCTCCAGGAGGAAGGTATTCCTCGGCGGGCTCGGCACCGGGAACCTCACGGCGGCGAGGCTTGCCGAAGCCGTTCATGCTGGCGCCGGGAACGCCATCGCGGACAAAGGCAGCACCACCCTCGTCTTCACGCTTGAAGGCGAGAGGGGTCAGCTGGCCGCGGGCACCGGGGGGACGGTAGGCGCCAGCAGGCTTGACTGGGGCCTTGCGGGTGCCCATGTAGGCAGTGGCAGAGGAGTGGGGAACAGGGAGCTTGGTGAGGGGGTCGCCCAGCGGGTGCTGGGAGATGCTCTGTGGCCGCCAGGTGACATCGTACAGCTCCGTCATATCTTCGTTGTACATAAGGCCACCGCTGACGTGCCAGATACGCACGCCGTTGTCGACGCGCAGACGAGGGCTTGTCGTCGCGGTCAGAATGTATTGTCCGTCGGGGGACCAGGCGCAAACACTGGCGTTGGAGGCCTCGACGGTGGTAATCTTGTGGTAGTTCTTGTTCATATCATAGAGATCCATTTGTCCTGCCAAGTTACCGAAACCGGCAACCAGAACGAAACGGCCATGCGGCGAGAACTGGATGGTGTTGCGGGGTGCGAGGGGGAAGTTGTGGGTGGCCACACCGCGCATGTTGAAGATAGTGGTCTTAGCAGGCATGTAACCGTACACAACACCGAATTCCTTCGAGTTGGGGTTCCAGCTGACATCGTGAATAGGACCCTCCTTATCAAGATCAATACGCGAGTCGAATGCACCGCTAGCGCTGAGCAAGTACAGAGTTGTCTCGCCATAATAACTCTTGCCAGTGCGGTCGACCTCAGTCTGTGCGAGCACGATCAGGGTGGTTCCAGAAGAGTTCCACTTCAATTGGACCTTGTCACCTTTGAAGAAGTTCTTCTGGGACACAGGGGCACCGAACTGCGGCACAATGAACACCTTGACCGCGGCGGGTTGACCCTTGCGCTCGGGAATGAACACCGCAATCGACTGGGTCTGACCCGGCGAGAGTGCAAAGTCCGTCACACCCTCCACGCGCAGCTTGTTCCAGACAGTTGACAAATTCTCGCTCTGGTAGAACTGGACCTCGTTGGTCACAGTGCGGGCGCAGAGTTTCTCATCGGCGGTGTACTGCAAGTTCCATCCAGTCTGCGACTTTTGCACAAAACTGCCCACGACCGCATGCTCATCTCCGTTCTCAATGGCACGCCACACCTTCAGGTTCTTCACGGCGTCTCCGTTCTCGTCCTTGGACGTGCGCTGCCAGGTGATCACGTAGGTACCGAGCGGCGAGAAGCCCAGCTCGAACACGTTCTCGGCGGCGATGGTTCCGACGATGTGACCAACGGAGGCGTCGACAATGGAGACCCTGCAGGCAACAACATTAGTATAAGAGTAACCGGAGAAATAGAAGATCAGCTTACTTCTCGGGCGATGCCCATGCGTAGTACCGGCCACACGGCGAGTAGGCGCTACAGCGGAGGTTGCCCTCAGGTCTGACAGAAGCGCACAAATCAGCTTGGTGTTCCCTCTTCATTCAGAATCAATTCCTACCTCACAAACCCGGGCAGAGGCTCATAAACAGGGGCGGCATCCATGATACCAATGCCCTTGAGCGTGCGGTCTGTAGACAATCAGCGTCCATCCATCAACATTCGCATCGATCTACTCGAGCCGAGATTTAACGATCGGGGAAACCCACAAGCAAGCTGCGTAGGAGCTGCCATCTTGACTTCAACGGTTCAAATAAAACCACCAACAAAAGTACTTCAGAAAGTTTATGCCTCTCGATTGCGTATCCCACAAGTCGAGAAAGAAAATCCGTCCAATACTCTGGGACCAAAATAACCACTTGTCGCGACAAAGAGTCCCAATGTAAGAAGGGGAGTCGGACAAAGCGAAGCGAAACTTCGAGAAAGTAACGTAGTTGGGCGAAAGAGGTTGGAATCAAGAAGAGACTCAATTGGCGGGGTTTGGCGGAACAAAAGACTTGGGTCTTCAGTCGGTCAGTGCTAGACAAGTCAATGCCAGCAATGAAAGGTCGGAGGCGAAGAAGAGGGAGGGTAGTGGTTTGACGGTTGGGAGGTTGAAGAGTGAAAACGAAAATTCGGGTGTCGCGATGTGGCTCGGCGGCATGCCGTCATCTGCTATACAGGGACATCACCAACTACGGTTTGACTTGGCTTGAGTTGGGCTTAACTAGTGGTTATTTATGCGATCTTATTGTATGTTATAGACAATTTGATTCCCTCTACTCGTGTCCCTTTAAAAGACAGGTGGCCATATTTATCCTACATAAAGAGGGGAATAACCCAGTCATGTGCTCAATATAGCACCGCCACAGGCCACAGAGTAGAGTCCATAGAGATAAATAGCTTGCATTAAAGTCAATACTCCTCTCCTACACGTCAGTCATATCCACCGACCTTCTCAGGGATCCCTGTAGAATTACATACATTGCCATTGGTACCTGAAAGCAGAGCCCAAAGAAAGCAAAAACGCCATTCGTAATTTCTTGATCTAACAACCTTGGAGACACCCATTCTAGTCCCGGCCTGGTGAGCCAAATCCATTGCTGTGCGCAGATGGAGTAGCCAGACGCGGGGTTCTGGCAGTAGTATCAATCACATCGGGATCAAACGTCATACCATTCACCATACGAGCATCCTCATTCATAGGCTCGGGGGTACTCGATCCAGCAGGAGAAGGGGACCTCATCGAGCTTTCGCCAGCATGATACTGTTGCTGCTGAAGGTAAGAGGCAAGAGGGTTGGGCCGGCTAACAGTGCTGCTCATCGAAGTCGGACGCGCCCCAGGACCTCCAGAGGACAAGCGGTTCAATCCGGCAGGACGAGAGGTCGGTCCACTGATCGTACTGTTGGCGCCCTCACCGAATCCTACAAGACTGGCATTGCCCTCATCACTGATATTGCTCACGCTCGAGGTTCCATCATCCGGGTCGTGATCTTCACTCATTTTGTCTGCGTCAAATGCATCGCTTCCACTCGCCCAGGTTGTGCGGCCGCCGATACTCCCCGTGGCGCTGGCGCTGCCAACTGTGCTTCGCTCCTTCATGGCTTGGCTTTCGAAGTATCCTGGTGCATATGAGGTGGGCGCGTTGGACTGGCCGCCCGCACGTGCTGTTGCGACCCGCTCGAGACCAGCTAGGCGGGAGATGCGATCTGCGCGCTCGGCTTCTAGGGTTGTTGTGGAGGATGTGGAAGCAGAGGACTGGTGCGCGTGGCGGCCGTGGGGAAATGGTTCGCCCTGGTGGCCATCCTTGATGGCTGTGGTGGACAGCGCGGATAGGGAAGTGGTGCCAGAATTGGGAGTGCCTCTAACCAATCCATTACCCAGGTCAGTCAAACAGAAATTCCAACTGAGATAGAAACAGAGATGAAGGTCTTACGGTCCCATATCGGACGGGGTGACAGGGTCCGACGGGGGAGGTGGCAAGTTGATCAGCGTAGGAGTAGACATGTTAATACAAGAGATCCTGGGTATCAGCCAGTGGTCAACAAGTTAAGAAGTTCGGAGTTGAGAAGTTGAGGAAAGACTGCGGGGAGAAATAAGCAAATTTGGACTAGACGTCATATTACCTTAAACGGGCAAACATCCATGGGTATTTCTATAAGATTCTCACACTTTGTTATACTATGTTAGTTGTTTATTATATATTAACTTATATCTCGTTCAATATAAGTTGTTATGCACATACATACACATGTGTCTACGTAGATCGGTCGTAATGACTCACATTCCGCATTACTACATGTAGCAGAAGATGAGTGCAACAGTCCTTGTGTCCAACGCAATAATCTAATAGAGCCAAAGTGAAAGAAACTTTGTATTCAAACCCAATAGAAGCAGTGGCCATATAACTATAACGGCCCAACGCTACTGGCCCAGATCCACTTCATATCACCCAATATTCAGCCCTCTGCTCGTACTCTGGACTCTTACCACTTAATCTACTTATTATATTGCGGCTGAGCACACCTATCACATCAAATACATACTGTCGAAGTCTTCAGCCCTTTGTAAATGCGGGATGGCCCAACCTTAATGTCAGAAAGTAAGCAGAATACGAGGCCACAACGCTATATGACTTCGACTTTTCCCTCTACTCCCCTTGTACAACCAGAAAAACTCTCCAAGATGATGCGCAAAAGAGAAGCATATACACAAATTACACCCATCCCCTCCAACGTACCCCGCCAACTAGCCCTGGACATCCTACACAGCCACAGCGAAATAATCACCCTGAACCCACTAGTCCTCTCGCACCACCCGATCAAAGCCCCACGAGATGCAACCTCAGACGAGTACTACTCAACCTGGTACGAGATCATTGAAAGAGTGCAATACCTACCTGGTCTAGGAAAGCTGGGCTCAGGCAAGATAAGCTTCAAAGGCTGTTTCCACGACACAACCTGGGGTATACAGACCCACATGTACGCACCGATGGGCATCGACCTCCAAAACAAATGGCGCATCGCGGGCAACCAGCCAGACGAACCACCCGATCTAGAAGGACGGGAACCGCGCTCGGCGGGCGCGCCTGCGAATGGACTCTATCTGCGCGAGGATGTCGAGATCCAGTGTAATTTGACGCTGATGTCGTTTGTGAAGAATCAGTTGAAGGCTGCTTCGAAGGTTCTGGTTGATCGGTTGATTAAGAAGGCCGAGTTGCTTGATGCCGGTGCTTTGCAGGCTATGATGGAGGATGGGAAGTTGAGGACTTATAATCCAGCTGATCGGTCGAGTTTGGGGATGTCGCCTTCGGTGCGGTATTCGGGTCGGGATCGAAGGTCGTCTAGGTGGTCATCTCAGACGCCGACTTCGCCGGTTGAGTATGAGTATGGGCATGAGCAGGGACGGTCGGGGTCTGTGTCTGGGTCGACGAAGTATTCCTTGCCGCCGAGATATAGTCAGGAGCAGAAGAGTTTTGTTGCGGAGTTGCCGGCTGATTCACATCATCCGCAGAGCGGTCCTGGGCTTGAGAAATATCCTGAGCTTCCGAGTAGGGATAGGCGGTTTTCTTCGAGTCGGCATGATAAGGAGTATCCTGCTGAGCTTCCCCAGTGAAAGAGGGCGTGGGAGCACAAGTATAATGAGCAAGATGGGAAAGACTTATATACAGTCTGGTGATGGAGTATGACTTGGAGTTCTGTTTTGATATTCTAGCATACCACCTGTGTGATGTATTCTCAGGGATGCATTGAATCTTTTGGTCATTTTATCTATTTTGTATCGAAACAATTTGAAATAATCAGAGCATATCTATTATATCCAACGTAGGAAGTAATAACGAGCCAACATAATATCAGAAGCACAAGACGGACCTGACTTTCCTTTCCCTTGGAATCTGGGCGAACAAACACCTGAACCATGAGGCACAATCATGGTCGATGCACTGTACCCATCAAGTACAGCTGTAGAATTAGGATTAATTCGATCAGGAAAAGTCTCGCCTCATATGTTGCGATGAACACAATACTTCATGCTTACTTGCGGCCTTGATAGAAACGAATCGCAGCTGCGTAGGCGCATTTCTGTCGGAAATCTGCTTGGCAATTGGACATCGTCCACGTATCTTCAGCTGGAAGTTGGAGAGGAAGGGAAGATCGTTATAACAAATCAGAACCGGGAGTAACGAGAGCCTATGTTGCTATATTTCCGATGGCCATCAAAATCCCTCCCACCACAGACCATGTTTTCAATGATTATGCCTTTGCATGTAAGCCAGAGCAATGCAGATCACTTTGTATGTCATCTCTTCATCTCTTGAAAGAGAGAGAGGGATATAAGAAAGAGGTATACAAGACAGAGGGCACTGGATACCTATACCAGTGATTTCTCGTCTTCTTGAAGCATCCTATGATACGTGCAAGGTTACTGGCAGGGATCCATTTTAGTCAGTCGATGGCATGGCAGAAGGAATTCACTGAATGTAGGGATTTAAATGGGTACGGTTGACTGTAAAAACAATGGAAAGGAGGAGGGAGATGTAGATATGATATTAGGAGGGCCCGATGTTGGGATCGATGAAAACGAAAGAATGAGGAAGAAGAAGAAGAAGAAGAAGAAGAAGAAGAAGAAAGGAACAAAACAAATATATATATATATATATATATATATAGAACACAAGCAATATACCGGTCACACATTGACATAACGATACGCCAACTTCATACAATCGTTCATTCATGTATACAACCACCTATGCCACGCTATAAAGAGAAAAGAACAAGAGAATACAGTCCCGCTGTACCACTCTAGCCCAAACCCATCACTCAACCTTACGATTCTCATAATGACCCCTCAGATCATCCACCTCCTTCTGCAATTTCGTCAAATCAGCCAAGATATCCAAAGCATTCGACGGCTGCGGAAGAGGCGCATCCTCATCAGTGGCCACCCTCGACACCGGCGGGCTATCACCTGCACTACTACGGATAGCAGAATCCCTCGTCCGACGAGGCGGCGGTGGAGGAGGAGGCCCAGACGATGAATTGGACGGAACACTTCCATAAGAGGAAGCACGCCGACCAGCTTTCAGTGAGGGGGATCTAGAACTAGGAGAACCCAATGGATTGAGAGAGACATCCCCTGAAGGAATTGCAGCCTGGAACTCCCCCGATGATGAAGGCGGAGGCATACTAATTCTCTTTGACGCCAGGGATCGAGTTGGACCCGGACTTGAAGGCAAGGAGCTATTACTCTCACGCTCTGAGTCGTATGAGGACATGGTTAAGCGGCTAGATTTGGACTGGGTGGATTTTGATCTCCGCATTTGACTGTGTCGTCGACTGAGGGGTGGAGTCGGGGGTCGTTTCTGAGAGTGGCTGCGTTGCAGGGAATCCGTCGGTTCTGTTGCTGCTTGGTTCTCTGATACCGAGAAGTAGTCTGCTGCTGAGGGTAGGGATACCGAGCTGGGATGGGAAGCGCCAGGCGTCACCCTTTCCGTTGAGGAGCCATGGATTGATAGCCTATTACTAGATCTCCAGCGAGCTGCTGATTGTGAAGAGTGTGCATCTGCATCTACATCGCTCATAGTCGTGGCTGTATGGCTAATCCGTTTCCCGTGATGACTCTTGGGCGGAGGCGGGGGCTTCTTCTCCCTCGTCCGGGCGGTACTTTCCTGGGAGGGGGAAGATTGAGCCTCGGAGCGTAGAGAGCGCTGGGAGCGGTCTCGGGATGCGTCAGGGGCTACAGGTCCATCTCCTGATGCAGACTGCACATTGCGGTCTGTTGATATAGATGGCTGCGTGGAGGATGGCGTAGAGGATCCATCTGGGGATGGAGCAGGAAGTGGAGCAGACCCAAAGAATGCACGGCGATCACCAGGAGCTGAGCTCTTGGAGGCAGAGTCGCTGGCCTCGCTGTCGCTAGCCAAGGCGTCCGGGTTGAACGGGTTCTCGTCTGAGCTTGAGTCGTCTACCTCGAGCTCGAGGGATATAGATGACTTCCCCGGATAGCCGTTTGCTATGGTGGGGGTGGATTGGGGAGGGTTGGGGGCATTCTTCGATTGAGGATCTGCGGGATTGCCTGTCTTACAATTAGAGGTGCGTTCGGGATATCGGACAGAGAGGAAGAAGACTTACCTAGGTTCCTTGCGCGGAAGGGATTTGATCCAGACATCGCGAAGTGGATGGGAGAAGATTGAGGGGAGAGGGGAGTCCCCCGCTGAGTTTCTTATCCATGAGGTTCCTACGCGCCGCGTTCCGATCGAAGCGTCCGGCGGCCCCGAGAGGCCGCATTGTGAATAAAACATTGAAACATTGAAACGTTGAAACTCGAATTTCAATTTGAAATCCCAGATGCTATGGGCAGATATGATACAGGTAAACACGCTCTCCTTAATAATAATAATCTCCCCTCCCATCACCGCTCGTTATAGACATGCCATGTCTCTTCATCCTCGAAGAATTTATGTGCCAGACGCTTCCCGCTCTCGGTGGGCTGGCTGAATGCAATTTGTGCCTTGCTTATTTCCATTCCATAAATAAAGTTGATCACCACACAGTCGAGGAGATCCAAGGCGATTCCCTTTCGCCGCGAGGATCCGGAGGTCCAGATACGAGACACTCCGACAATGGCCGGGCGTAGTTCATCTCGCACGGAAACCGAGGAGCCGTTTGCGCCATTTTGATCCGGCGCGACCGGGCGCGATTCCCAGATGCGCTCCGTCAGGCAGAGCCCAACACAGCGACTGTCCTTCATATGCAGAAAAACCCGATACCGATCCACTTTCTCGGTCGGGCCATCCTGCAGATGTTTGGGCGGTTCCGTTTGGCTCCAGAGTGTTTCATCGTCAATCTCTGGCGATGAGAGTTCTTTGTTGACCACCTCGAGCACCTTCTTGGCTTGGCTTTTCGCACTGGGGGATGCCTTGCGATCGACAATCACCACGTATCCCTCGTCGAACCGAGTAGCTTCGTAAACCCAGCGCGAGGCGTTCGCGCGCATAAATGCCTTGCCCAGGTCGATCCCCGTAGCATTCATCTCGTGGAACTTTTTATGCAACGCCGCGTCCTCGGTGTTGGAGGGGATATATTCCATGCCACAGGTAGCGCACGTCTTTCGTGTGTCATTTCCCAGGTCAATCTGCATCTGGCGCATCACTGGTTTCTGCCCCTTCTTGGGTTCCACCGACGAGCGCACACTGTTCGAGTTGACCTCTGTCAGCGGTGACCCGGCATCCTTGTGCTTTCGCTTGAGAAAGGCAAATGTTGGTTTGCGAGTATTTGCTGGCGGCGGAGTTAATCGTGGAGGTGGCGACGAGGGTGGTGTTGTGAGATCGTCAATATCATCGAGCGTGCCTTCCGACAGTACGACGGAATTGCGACGCGACGGGCTAGAGAGCACGGCAGCTGAAGATTCGCGAATAGCATATTGCAGGTTGGTCTCTGCCTCATCCGACTCATCCTGTACGCGTCTTTTCTTTGCAACGCGCTCGTCATCGTAGACGCGCCATGTCGGTCTTCCGTATGTTTTCATGAGGCCTCTGGACAAAGTTAGTGAGTGAGTGTGGCGCATAGAGAAGATAGAGAAGGAGACATACCGCTTAAAAGAATTGGTGACAGTCCACGGCATCCCTGCTTTTCCAAAATGGTTAAGTGGGAGAAGTTGAGAAAGTTCAAGTTGAATCGGTGACGGCACGCGTGGGACGCTAGTCTGTTTTAGGTCATATTGTTTCGACTGCGATTACAGCCACTCACCTATCCCTTGCTGTGTCTGTTGTCTGTTGCCTTTTGTCTGCTGGTGTTTGGTGTTGTCTGCTGGTGTTTGGTGTTGTCTGCTGGTGCTGTCTGCTGGAAGCTTGCTTGGGAGGTAAGGTGTTTATATGATCAACATGTGGAGAGTTTAATGACCCTCTTCGCCACCTAGCCAGGATTGTGGCTGGAATCACAAAGGAGAGACGTGAATATGTACAAAGTCAAGAGTGAAGGTGTGACTTGTATACAAATACAGCCTCTCAAATTCCTTCAAATTCCTTCAAATCCCTCCAAATCCCCCCGTTGGCATGTTGGAGTGGCACGTCGGGCACCCCCTTTCATGGGCCCAGGAACCAGTCAATCACAATACATCATCTCAGCCAATCGTACCATCGTGACACTCCTGAGAAATTAAACAATTGCGACACCCTCTGGGCGTCAAGAACCGCACGTTGGGTCCCCACTACCCACAGGCACCAACTTAGGAGACAGTATTTCCACCTTATTTCCCCCTAGACCGAAGTGCCAAACGGGCCAACGAGAGCGCATTTATGCTGATTGGATCACAACCTGTGTGAGATCGAAGATCACCGACAGTGATTGGCTTGACACGAGGCCAGGTTACGAGGTCCCATCACAGACACTCTTGGCCCCCGGATTTCACATTGCATGGGTATACAGCATACAGTAGAGTTCATGGCAACTTGACCTGATTTGACATACCTAGTCTATATCCTAGTCAAAACTGGCTGGCAGATGCAGGCTGCGCGTCCTTCATTGCTTAGATGCAGCCTCGCATGGCGCGCCTTGGGGCTGACTTCGTATCACTCGATGGCCCCGAAAAGATAGCCTTGTCCTATAGTCCATGGGGCCTATGGGAGACACCGGGCTGATTGGCGTCTGCTTCAGCACGACTGCAGGATCTGTTACACATGCTCATCATCTGGTCCAACTCCAGTGTCCTTTTGCATCGGAGAGTTCCGTGGGCGCCAAAGGCTGCAGGGTTTGAGAGCTCTCACATCATCCGGGCTCTGTTTCTCCGGTTGTAGTTGTGGAAGGCTGTCAGATTCTAACAGTGGACAGCTGTTCTCATCCCAAGTCTTCAGGATTTTCAGGGTTCCAATGTTGCATGCATGTTAACGTTAGTGCTTACTGAGATGTATAGGCACGATTGGGGGTAGTATGTCGATCCCACCCCGCCAGAATCGGTGCGCTGCAGAAGATTGTCCAACGGTTCCTGGACTATATATACATGTAGCATAAGGGTGTAGGGATAGGGGGATACTAGATGAAATGGCTATAAAATAGAAGCTAATTGGAAACTAACTGGAGGCTGTACAATTATAAGTGTCTTGTCTGAATGTTTGTCTGTCTGTAAATGACAGATAAGAATCCCGTAGAAAGTCCCCGAAACGATCGGGGACTTCATGCGAGTATCAGCAGAAGCATACCAGGGCTATGTACTCTAGTGAGGTTGAGGTATATATGGCCGATGTCTGGACGTCTGGTTCCGCTTTTCAGCGGATCTCCGACCGGACCCCCAAAATTTAACAAAAACTCTTCAACTCCCAACCAACTTCACAATGTCCGACTCAGCTCAAGCAGCAGGAAAGCGCAAGCGTGCGAGTAAGTATCCTTGTTCTTATGTTGTCCTTTTTCCCCCCTCGGTGGCGCCAATGTGGCCACTCTGCGCTTCTCCGAGTTTTTCGAACCAGACCTGTTCGAAACCATGCCCAAGCCCTGAGATTGGTCCCCAGTCCCCTCAAGTTGTGATTGTCACTGCGGTGTGACGTTGCTGGGCCAATCGTTCCTCCTTACAGCCCTTTTTCTACCTCTCCCGCTTCTGTACAAGTTCAGAGCCGACAAGATGTCTAACTCTTCGTCCCCAGGGACCCAGTCATGTCCTCCCCCAGAGCTCCCCCAGCTCGTCGCAGAGCAGCATGTGGCTATTCCAACTCATGATAAGGACACCCAGCGCCTGATCGTGGTTCTCTCCAATGCCAGTCTGGAGACCTACCGAGCTGTCTCAAGCGGACGTAATGGATCCAAAGATGAGAAGTACTCTCTGCTGAACAGCGATGAGCACATCGGTATCATGCGCAAGATGAACCGTGATATCAGCGAAGCTCGCCCGGATATCACCCACCAGGTATGAGTTGGCAATGCCATTGAAAATTTTGCCTTGACTAAACCTTATCAAGTGCCTTCTTACTCTCCTCGACTCCCCCGTTAACAAGGCCGGTCGCTTGCAAATTTTCATCCACACGGCCAAGGGTGTGCTGATTGAAGTCAACCCCTCCGTTCGCATTCCCAGAACTTTCAAGCGTTTCGCCGGTTTGATGGTCCAGCTGCTCCACCGTCTCTCCATCCGCTCCACCAATTCCCAAGAAAAGCTCCTCAAGGTCATCAAGAACCCCATCACCGACCACCTGCCCCCCAACTGCCGCAAGGTGACCATGAGTTTCGAAGCCCCCGTGGTCCGCACCAAGGACTACCTGGAGTCGCTGAACCCGAACGAGTCCGTCGCCATTTTCGTTGGTGCCATGGCCAAGGGCCACGATGACTTTGCCGACAGCTTCAAGGATGAATCTATCAGTATCAGCAACTACAGTCTGAGTGCCAGTGTCGCCTGCAGCAAGTTCTGCCACGCCGCCGAAGAGGTCTGGGATATCCTGTGAGAGACTAGACTAAATCGCGCAGCTTTAAGCGCGCACCTTGCCGTCGCGACGGCATCTGCCATGAGGCCACGAATTTTTCTTACGGGCGGGGATTGAGTTGCATGACACAACGCGTGCCAATTGCTGAGTGTAAAAGCCCATCTCTACCTTTCTCTCGGTTTTGTTTTTAAGGAGATTCCAGTGTCGGGAATCACTTGACGGGACACCAAGCCTCGGGATTCGATCCCAGGTCGTTCTGGTTGGGGACTTGTGTCCTTTGGAGGTTTTTTTCTCTCCCCTGTCTCCGCATGACACGTTACGGGCTGGAGGGCATTTGGTTCCTTTTCGCCAGTCAGTCCTGATCCGTCTTCCATCCACAGGTTCAACCTCGACTGTGATGGGCAGATCAGAAAAAGTGAACAGCATATAGATCAGGACCCATTGACTTGGATCCTGAGCCAAGGCACATATCTTCAACTTCTGTGTTACAAATATAGCTATTTTATTCATTTCGTATGCGACGTGGCATGCAACTAGCGCCTCACTTTGGATGCAATGGGGATCCGCCGACATACAGTAGTGTACTCTACAGTGTACTTGTGTAGTATTGTCTTCATGATTCGCTTCCTAATCAAATCCTTTTCCAATAATTAGGATCCTATCAAAAATCACTACTACTATAGTGAGTCAAAAGACAAGAATAGTGGCGGTCAGCACATCTGCCCAAGTTGAGATTGCTTGGAATCCCTCACTGGCCACCACTTCCTCTCTCCACCAACCCACTTGAACTACTGCATCTCGGCCAAGCGCCCCATCCGCGTCCACTTGGACTCCCCGCGGTGACCTGGCAGCCCTTGAACCAGTCCTAAATTGGGCCTCTAACCAAACAAAGCAATTTGCCAACTTAGCGTCCGCTACAGCACACCTTGGGCCTTCATATCCGACACTACTCGCCTTGCTCTGGCTGTTTCAAGCTGCTGATCTCTCGGGCCATTCAGCATAACCGGTCGAACACAGCGATGGCTAATCAAAAATCCAAGAATTACCCACCCTGACTCCATCGAGAACTCTCATGTCCCTCTGTACGAGGCCCACTGTCATCTCGGAGGGGCTGGTCTCCAGCTGTGGCTCGCCTGGGACGACTGCTGGCAAGTTCGTCCTTTGATGACACTTGGGCAGGAAATCGGGAGACTGCGCGTGCCTTTACCGCGAATCTGGAAAGCCGCCGATGCTGACTGGCTGGCTGTAGGGGGTAGCTTCGGCCTCGTTTTTCCCCCCGTCATAGTATATAGACTTGCCTCTCACCGTATATATCCAGGCCCTCAAATCCCGGCTCTGAGTTAAATCCAACTTTCTTTCCATTTTCAACTCTTCATTCTCACATATTCACCCTTGTCTCTCGCTTTCCCTTTCCACTGTACGTGGCTTCGTACATACTTCAACCATGCCTGTTTCACATATCACCCTCACGGTCTCTCATCTGCCGACTTCTACGTCGTTCTTTCTATCTTGTCTGCAGCCTCTGGGTTACCAGTTCATTGGGAGACATGACGATTATATAGGTTTCGGTCAGAAGCAGGGGGAGCCTGCTGATTTCTGGATGACCGAACAGAAGCCCGGGTATGTATATCCAAATATCCAAATATGGTTTACCACAAGCTAACCCGACGTAGAGTCCCTCCTGGTGCAGTTCACGTCGCCTTCCCAGCCCCGTCAAGAGACGCCGTCGGCTCATTCTTCATCAGCGCCTTAAAGGCTGGTGGAAAGATACACGGCGAGCCCAAAGAACGGGATTCCCGAACTGGGTATTTCAGCGCGGCAGTCATCGACTTCGACGGCAACAGCATTGAAGCTGTATACCGGCCGACCAGCAGTGGCGCATCAGTCGTCTCCGCCGCCAGCGGACCGACAATGGCCTTGCTGGAGAACAAAGACAACCGGTCTGTGGTCTCCAAAGTGAGCAGCAAAGCTGGCTCCGTCAAGGCCGAGAGCGTCAGAGCAGAGAGCATTGCATCACCAAGGTCCGAGGCCCATTCTCGCGCTGTATCAAAGGCGCCTACGGCCATTGAGCGATCTGCTCCGACAGTCGTATCCCGGGCTCAGTCCCACGCACCTTCGCAACAACAGTATGGGCTCCAAACGCCTCCGCAAACTCCCCGAAAGCCGACGATGGCAGCAAGGCAGCCAAGACGATCGTCGGTACTCTTATCGGTGCAGCAGCAGGCGCAGCTATCGCCTATGCAATGGTCAAGGGCGAAAATTCATCCGCAACCGAGCAGCAAAGTCCCATGCAATACGTGACCAACTTTCCCCAGCTCAAGGCGGCACCCTCCCAAGCCTCTCACGAGGAAGAAGAGCCGGCCCCAAGCCAATTTCGGGCCCTGGAAGCACCACCCCCGCGCAGCGAGTACGCCCCACGCAGCGAATACGGCCGCAGTGAATACGCCCGGAGTCAATACACAGCAGCCTCAGCCCCGCGCACAACGCTCACGCGCAGCGTGACCTCCAAGAACCCGCGCGCAAGCACAATTTACGAAGGAACAGAGTTCATGCACGACGACCCGGGCCGCCGCGCCTCAGAGGGAAGCATCTACAGCATCCCGGAAGACCTCCCCTTCCGTGCAATCGAGTACCCACCCCCGAGCAACGCCTCGCAGCAGCGCTACCCATGCAACCCATCGACCTTCATCAGCAGCTATGCAAATGACAAGCCCCGCAACAACTCCAGTGGCAGCATTCACAGCTCGTCAACTATCAAGGCCTCCCAGGCCAACATGCAGCGTCGTCACAGCCACGATGATAGAGATGGATACTCGACTCATAGCAGCCACCACAGCCAAGTGCACAGCCAGCACACCACCTACCGCGCAGCCTCCGTCAAATCCGCCTCAGTATCCCCATCCTCGCACCGCGGCGGCTCGCCCTCAGCAACCGGCAGCGCCAAAGAACCAAGCATCGCCCCCTCAACCTCAAACCGCTCAGCCCGCAACGTCCCCCTCCCAACAGGCTCACAAACGACAACATACTCCAGCCCAAGCATTCACAGCAAAGACAACGGTGGCGGTAGCACAGCCAAAAACTCCCACGTCTCCGCCCGTCAAATCCCCTTGCCCCAGGGTTCAATCTCAACCTTCTACTCCAGCCCAAGCATCCACAGCGGCGCCGCAGATGGCTATCACGGCGCCGGAGGCGAAGTAACCCGCTCCGCAGACAAATCCTCCTACGTCTCCCTCTCCCCGCGAGACATCTTTCTGCCCGAAAGCGTCCTCGACGTCGATGTCAACTCGAACGTCACCCCCGATGACTCAATCAGCCAGGTTGGAGGCCATAGCCACCACGGTGGACGGTCTAGATCTAGACATTCGACTCATAGTCATGCCCGTTCGCATCGTTCGCGCTCGCGCTCGCATCGGTCTTCGCATTCGCGGGCTTCGAAGAGGGAGCCTTCCGTTCATTCAAAGGCTGTTTCTAAGGTTGGGTCGAAGATTGGTTCGGGCTCCAAGGCTGGTTCGAAGTTCGATGAGCCCGTGAGACCGGCTGATTCTGTTAGTCAGGTTTCTAGGGCTTCACAGCGGACTGCTAAGGCGCCTGAGAGTCGGAGGGGTAGTCAGGTTGTATGATTTTGAGTTGTGGTGATGATGATGTTGATGTTGATGGGTGCATTTTCCTTGCGTAATATTTGCATTTCTCGCCTTCGTTTCTTCTCTTTCCTTTTCTTCTTCTTTGGCATTGATACACACCCTTTGGAAGGGGTATATCCAGTTGCATTCTTCTACTTCATTAACTTGCATCTGCCTTTGGCTTTTTGGACTGGATTTACTCTTTCTCCTCTTCCTGAACATGGCTCATCTTGGATCAAGTCTGAGTTTGAAGAGGTTGAAAGGTATGAATTCAGTTCGGGGATTTCGATACGACAGACCAGACCAGATTGATTCTATAAAGGAACCAGGTTTTTGCTTTTTGCTTGTTTCATTACTGTTCTTTTTGATTTGCATTTTACACAGATAGAGACATACTATACTATACATACATACATACATCATATGGCGGAGTTTTGGGAATTGATATTGGGATGCATTTTCGAGAGAATCAGCCTTTGATTAGATTTATCTGTGTCGAGTATAAAACCTTGTCAGGATGGATGATGTCAGTGAAGAGATGTTGGCAAGACTTGTGAAAGATGAAGACAAGGCGTGGTAGCGAATTGCGAAGGGTAAATGCGAAGGGTTAGTGTGTTGATGCATTCAAAGTGATACTGGCCTCGAGTAATACAAGTTCTATTAACGTTAACCCGTTGCAGCCTAAGTAGTATTATGATGTCTATCCAGGCGCTTCTATTCTATTCGAATAAATCATTAACTTGTTCGTACGTCTAAACCTACTAGCAGTAGAAAGCAGTAGAAACAAAAGCTGCAAGAGAATGTCGAAAGGCCCCAAAGCGTCATATCCAAAACGATAGCCCTAACCCGATATTCATACCCGAAACTGATGAACCCTTACAATTGAAATGCAACAGAATGAGTGCATAGATTGCACTATCCACCTCACCATGTCATCTCTGCCTCTCCATGACATCTCCCTTCACTATCTGCTCACTGCAGTGAGGTCAAGTCCGTTTCCGATGCCTACTCCGTTCTCAATTGATACTCTCGGTGACGATGACCCGGAGGCATTATTAGTGTTCGAGAACGCGAGGAATATAATACGGCCTGACGAACACCCAATTGCTGCAGTTGCTGCAGACATGGCAAATAATGAATGGTTATCTGGTCGATACTCAGGAGGTAGCCAAAGGAGATTAACCCCATTATGGGTTATCCAGGAACTGTCATCATTCAAACCATACCCATGTTTCTGTGGTAAGGAGATCAAACAGTCAACAGAGGGTTCGGCAAAGGCAGTCGGCATTATGTCACCGAATAGACGATCGAGTTTGAATCCAAAAGACTCAAGCAATCCATAAGATGCGTCTTGAAGCATTGAGATGCACCTCCCAGTAGCCAGATCCCAGATATTGACTATATCATCAAAGCACGCTGACGCAAGTCGACTTCCATCTTGTGACCAGGCAACTGAGATGGCCAAACCACTGTCAACCTCGAGCGTTGTTATACACTGACCAGTGTCCGGATTCCAGATTTTGACCGTCTTGTCTCGGGATGCTGATGCAAGTCGACTTCCATCTTGTGACCAGGCAATCGATCCGATTTTATGACCCCTTTCAACCATTGGGGTGTAATAGTCGGTAACTGTATCCCAGATCCTGACTGTCCGATCTAGCGACCCTGATGAGAGTCGGCTTCCGTCTTGCGACCAGGCAACTGAGTAAACTGTTCCGGTGTGCCCCTCGAAAGTTGACACACCCTGGCCGTTAACTGTATCCCAGATCCTGACTGTGTCATCTAGTGATCCTGATGCGAGTCGGTTTCTGCCGTGCGACCAGGCAATCGAGTAAACTACTTCAGTGTGCCCCTTGAAAGTGAACACATTCTGGCCAGTAGTCGTATCCCAGATCCTGATTGTCTTGTCCCAGGACGCTGATGCGAGTCGGCTTCCATCTTCTGACCAGGCAAATGGCCCAACTGCATCTGTATGCCCCTTAAGTATTAAGTTGCATTGGCTGGTCAGAGCCCATATGTTAACTGTGTTATCCATGGACGCCGATGCGAGTCGACTGCCATCTGGTGACCAGGCAATTGAACCAGCCTGCTTGTTATATCCCTCTAACGTTGAAACACAGTGATAATCGTTTAGCTCCCAGACTTTTACTCTTCCATCAGTTGACCCGGATGCAAGTTGGCCTTGTGACAAAGCAATCGAGATAACCGGACCAGTATGCCCATCGAAAACATGCACGCACTGGCCAGTGGTAGTATCCCAGATTCTCAGGGTCGTGTCAAGGGACGCTGAAACGAGCCGTCCGTCTTGCAACCATGCGATTGACGTAACATGGCCGCCATGCCCATAGAGGGATAGCTTGCATTGACCGGTAACAGTATCCCAGATCCTAACTGTGTTATCAGCTGCCCCTAACGCAAGCCGGCCTTGTGACCATGCGATCGAGCTAAAGTGTCCATTAATTCCCTCGAGCTTTAACGTGCAATGACCGGTGACGGGATCCCAGATCCTGACTGTCCTGTCCCAGGACGCTGATGCAATTCGGCTTCCGTCTTGTGACCAGGCGACTGAACGGACATCCCGAGTATGGCCCTCTAAGGTTTGCAAACATGTACTCCAGCCCTTCTCCGCTTCTGGTCTGTTCAAAATCCAACTTGGACTTTGCTCTTGATAGCACGTTCTCGTGATGCTTTGCATTGGGCTGAAGATAAGAGGGGAACCGTAGACCTGAAGGGGGCTGCTTTCAATAGCAACTTTGTTGTACTGAAAAAATCGAGCGGCATCTGAGACTCGATGTAAAAGGACTTGTGGCTCGCCAATTTTCTAATTCGGCATGCTCGTTAGTAGGGTGGACCTGTTTCTGGATAAAACTGATGCATAAACACTTACCTGAAGTAAGCGTTCAAGCTTTAGTATGGATGCTATGCCTGTAGGTATGCTTTCTAGAATGCTCAGGGCTTCCAGCCAATGAAGGTAATCCCGCCGTAAGAAACGATCGAGTGAGCCACCATCTTCAAAGTCTTTGTCCAAATTTTGACTGGAACAGCATGCACTTAGGTGTTCAACCCAGTGGACAACTCCATACCGTGCTGCGGCTAACGGATCTGGATTTGGCCTCTTGACCTGCCGAATCGGATATCCGGGGTCATTTATGCTGTAGATGTCACGTCGCAGAGCCATTTCCATAGCCCGTAGAGATCTTGAGAAAAGATCATAGTGCACATTCTCAATGCCGCCAGGGTAGACCATATCAGATTTCCTTTGGAGGAAAAAGTCTTTGGCTGATTGGTGAACCAACGAGATTGTGTGTTCTCGGAGATACAAGAAAGAACCACAGTGTCCTATAATGTCTTTTAGATCATTGGCATCATCTTCAGACATTTGAATATAAGACGGTATCTCATCCAATGTGAGAGGGCGGTAGACAGTTGTGGTGACGCTGAGAAGAGACTTGCAGATCTCAGCATCGTCCGATTCGGTGATTTGGTCCAGCATTCGGGTGTAAAGGTCATTTAGACCAGGGGGTAAATTATCCAACTTTTTCAGAACGTGTCTCTTCGGGACGTTTGCGAGTTCCTTGCAAACCAAGGCTACCCAAAGGAATGTGCCGTTTGCATTTGAAACGAGATAATCTTGGGCTTTATCCCGTATTTCGGCGGTGTAGTCGTGTCTTTTTGCTAAGACATTGATCTTATGCTGGATGAAGGAATCAACAGCAGTCGACAGAAGTGTCTCATTCTCAAGAATAAGTCTTGTTTGCTTTACGTCGCGGAGGTCTTTCTCAATACTCGGCCAGTTGCGGCTTGAGACTAGCCACTTGATATGCGTGTGATCTGACGAGATCTCAACAAGGAAACTAAGAAGCTTTTCCAAATCTTTAGTGCACTCGTCAAGTGCGTCGATAATCAGGTAGGTTAGTCGCAACATCGGGTCTTTGAGAACATTGATGAGAACTTTGCGTAATGCAAACCAGGCGTTTTCGCCTTCGAATGGGCCTTCGCCAACATGACTCTGGAGCACGGGCTGCTGCTTCACAAGCATAGATATAAGTCCTCGTAAGACCGCAGTAGCATTGTTGAGGGTTTCACGATTTTCTTGACAGAAAAAGAACGCGACGTTGGTGTCGTGCGTGGGTAATTCATTAATGATACCGCAGAGCAACATTGTCTTGCCCTTGCCGGGCTCTCCTGTGATCCAGAGAAGATGGCCACAGCTATTTCTCCAGCTTTGAAAATGGTCGTTTTCGAGCACCCAGCGGTATGAGTCTTCGAAAAGGCGGCCTTTATCAGTCTCGATTCGTTCTTTGTCATCAATAGGATTCGTGGCCTTCAGATTTCCTAAGCATCGGCGATACTCGGCATCAGACATATGTTGCTCAACCGCCTGAGCATGATTGGAGATGATTTCTAGGGTCTTGCGCGATTCCCGAGCTTCCTTTTTAAGCTTCTCAAGTTGTTGTAGACTCGCACCGTTTAAAGCCTTCTTAAGGTTCTTATGCAGAGTATCTTCTCTCTCCTTGAACAAATCCAATTGGACGTCCCAGCTGTCGTATTTGGTGACGTCTTTGACGTATCTTTTGCCCGAGCTGCTATAGAACCTTAGCACGCTCTGCACCTGGAAATCAACCACGAGTTTGTATAAGTCTATCAAACTCTTGATGAGTTCATCTTTCAAGCTGACCATCATAGACGGGGAGAGGAAAAGTGGCTCCATCGCTACATAGTAACGAATTTGTGAGCTAACATATCTGAGTCCCTCCTGGTTATCAGTGTCGACAGCAGCCGGATTCCTCAGGAAAACAAGTAGGATCGAAATGCCTGCCATCGCAACCGGTGCATAAGGGACATCCTTGAGTGCATCTCTGGCGTAGGCTTGGATCCAATCTACACCTTTGGCAAACTTTCCCACCGCGTCTCGCAGGCCCATCTTCTTTCCAAAGATTGTCATTCTGAGCCTCCCGTCTTCAATGTGCTTCAGACCCAGCTCAGCTATCTGTTCTAGTTTCTCCCGGCGGGCTGCCACGTCATGTTGAGAGATCTGGTTTTTGACGTCGCTAGTATCTGCCTCGTGTTCTGACTCTGATGTCGAGTTTTCCAGAGCTAGATTGTGAGATCAACACTACCGAGAAACAAGCATGACTGTTTTCAAATACATACCTTCGATAAGTACTAGGGACAGAAGATTCTCATATGTGGACCACGCATCAGGTTGTTCTAGTTTCAAAGAGTCATATGCTTTGTCCCAGAGAGAACTAGGTCCGGGTTCGGTGACCGTGGTGTCTGTTGCTTGTATTTGAGCTGGAGTCGGAACACTTGTACCCTGAGCCTTGAGTTTTTCCGCCCCTGTTTGGGGTGACTTGTCGGTGGAGGCGGAGGTCTTGTCGAAAAAACGTGGATTTGACTGCTGGGTCCATGAAGCTGTAGACGTTGACCGTATATTGTCGTTTGACTCTTTTGCTTTCGACAAGTTCCACTTGACGAGCCGTTTCAACCGGGGTCTGAAAGCTTCTCTGTCACTCATCGCCTTTGCGAGCTCGCTACTTATAGAGCAAGGTCTTTTTCAGTAACCGAACAAAACCATAGGATGTATTCGAGGGCGTGGAAATGAACGTTCCTTGATTAAGACATGTTTTTGGAGTGCAGCAAGGCGTCGATTGGTACTTAAGTTCTTCATGATACTGTCTCATTTTGTTTCGGTGCCGCTAGAGGTGGGGTCAATCACTTTGCAATTCCCTGCTGAGATGTATGGTGATATGGACATGCATTAACGCCTTGGTTTAGATTTGGAAATGTGCACAGGGCCAATCATTTGTCGCTAAGGAAATGTAGACTGGGGCGTTGCTATGCATCAAAAACCAACCTACCTAAAAGCGAGCCTTGGCACTCCGCGGGCCGAAACCCAAGGCGCCAGCCTACATTTACTATGTAGTTGTCTAGTAAGATTGGCACTGTCATAGTAAACGCAAGTACCTCAGGTTCCATTTCCCAAGTGATGCACGTAGTTGGTGAGGGAAGTCTAGGCCGAATTCAGGCAGGAGGGTCCTGTAAAAATGGCGTCTTTCTCTTAGACTAATACGGTGGTGAGATTCAGGTACCTAACTTAGCGTTTCGTATGCCACCTGATACCTCAGGCATGAATAACGTGATCACTTGCTCGTCTTGCCCAAGTTTCTAAAGGGATATAGGGGTTGACATGCTTTTTATGTATGACGTGAGTGTATGATTTGAAGCTACATGGCTACTATGAGGTTACTTATGGTTACTACGGGGTATAGACCAAATCGACACCGAGGGACCTGCCTGGATTGTGCTATTCATAGAAGAAAAGAGATCAGCCACTAGCACCTAGCACAAGAGACACAAGACCTCATGATGACAAGTCCACATAATCGGCAACTGCATCTAGCCTCCACCTTCATCGTTAATCGTTCAACCGCATAATCCAAAAAAACCGAAGCAACCCGCAGAGCAGCACTGTAGAAAAGTAGAAGTTCTCTGAAAGCAGAATCAATCCTTACGAAAAATCTCAGAAAGAAACCTTGGAAAACAAAATGCCATGCATGAAGAAGTTGGTCATAAGGATCGTTGGAGTATGACATTGGGTCCCAGGAACTCTCAAATTCAACGACCACGAAACGTCACCGCGCAAACACGCGGGCAAAAGGAAAGCAAGCAAGCGCGATCACGGAGAAGAGACAGGCATTTGAATTTGAAGGTGACATAAAACTGGATCAAGTAATAGTGCAAGAAGACGGCAAGAAACGTATCTACGACCACGGGGTACGCCAGACTTTCGCGGGTTCTGATTCTGAATTTGATTCTAACGTGGGTTGCGGGGCACAAGAACGGCGAAGCGGAAAGATGCAGAGCGACGAAGTTGGAAAGAAATCGAGAGGTATTTTGTCGTCGAGTGGGAGATCATAAGGGCCGAGGAGAAAGGTGGGAATGGAGGAGCGATAAAGAAACATGATATTGATTTGTCGTTTCAAATTCTCAAATAGCGTACTTGCGGGTCCATTCTCGAGCTGTCGCCTCGTAACGAAGGCGGTCGGTCTTATAGACGTGCGCGATTTCGGGGACGAGAGGGTCATCCGGGTTGGGGTCTGTGAGCATCGAGCAGATGGAGAGCAACACTAGAACATGTTAGTCATATGATATAGATGTATGGTAGGGCTGGGTTACTCACCCTTGGAAATGGTGAGTGCGGGGCTCCATTGGTCCCTCAGGATGTCCAGACAGATGCTGCCGTTCGAGTTGATGTTGGGGTGGTAGATGCGAGTGGTGAAGTTGACCTTGGGAGGCTTGAAGGGGTAGTCGGTAGGGAAGTGGATGGACAGGAAGAAGACACCGCCTGAGTATGGGGAGTCACCCTAGAGAGAACATTAGTACCGTGCGGCTGAGAATTGATTGCTCTGTGCTTGGTGGGGGGACAGATGGCCACCCTCTCACCAAGGTCCCCAGAGAAAGAGCGACGAGAAAATGACTTACAGGACCCATGATCGTTGCTTGCCAGTGGAACTGTAGCAGAAACACACCAGTTAGTTATCCATGTCCATTTGTATCAATATCAGGCCACTGATCAGCAGGGTACACGTGCCCCGCCACAGCGCCAACGAGCACCAGAATCGGGTCTCATACCAGGTCATCGCCGACGGGACCAGCGGAGCAGGAAGAGGGCGGGTCCCTAAACACAGTCAAAGTCAGTTCTGGATAGATCGCAAATCGTCATCTCTGGGACAGGCTTACCGGCCGAGGTCAGTGAGTTCCTTGTTAATGCGCTTGAGAGCCATGACGAGCAAAGAGAAAGTAAAGTCAAAAAGAGAACTAGAAGAAGATCGTCAGAAGTGAAGAGGAAGAAGAAGGGGGGAAGACTTACGATTACGTCTTTGTGTGGAAAAGAAAGAGAAAGAAGAGAAGATTGAGAGGGGGAAAAGTGGGCGGGTTTCTCCCAATACAATACCAATACCGCCACAGATGACACATCCTGAATCATCCGGCTGTATTGGGCTATTGGGCTATGCTACATAGAAGAAGGCAGAAGAGGACGGAAATAATCTATTATTCATGAATCTAGGCTAAGAAATAGGGCTGATCTAGGGTCGGGTTCAGGTGAGATTGAACAATTTTACAGATCCAATGTAAGCAGATCCTGAATATTCTACCTATACAATGTTATAATTTGATAGTAATCATGATACCGTACGGTATCTGCCCCTCGATGATGTCACGTGCGGGTGAGGCGTTAAAATCCCGGCTTAGATCAGACCGTATACTTCTTGGGTATTATATCCGATTCTCTAGACAAAGGCCTGTACGCCGGTGATGGCACGGCCTAGAATCAATGCTGTATCTCATTAGTCTCTGCCCAACATAACCAGGCTTGCACGACTTACCGTGGATATCGCTTTGGCCCTCGTATGTCTGCACCACAAATAGGTTAGCCACATGGCGGGCAATATGGTATTCATCGCTAGCAGCATTGCCACCAAAGATCTCTTGTAGACTAATACGAATGTCAGCAATTTAATCAACCACCCAGAGCCCAAAACAGGAAACATACATTCTCGAGTTGGCCAAGGCCCGGTCACAATTCTGACGCTTTACCATGGAGATCATCTCAGGTGTAGCCTTGCCAGCATCCTTAAGACGAGCCACCTGAACAGCAGCCAGGGTACCATAGGCAGCGTCCGTAGCAGCATCAGTCAGCTTCTTCTGAACAAGCTGATACTTGGCCAGCGGGTTGCCCTTGAACTGCTTGCGCTCCAGACTGTATTCGCGCGCACGGGCAAGACAATCCTCCAAGGCGCCCATGGCGCCAAAGGCAATGCCCAACCGGGCACTGTTCAAACACGTAAACGGTCCCTTTAGGCCCTCGACCTCGGGGAACATATTCTCCACCGGCACGGGACAGTCATCCATCTGGATCATACCGGTGATAGAGGCCCGCAGCGCAGTCTTGTTCTTGATAGCAGGGGTCTCGAACGTACCCGGTGGGCATCGCGAGCGCTCAACAACAAATCCACGGATCTTACCCGTCGACTCAAGCTTAGCCCACACAAGGGCGAGGTCACAGATGGGCGAGTTGGTGATCCACGTTTTGCTACCAGATAGCAAGTACATGCCCTTTTGTGTGGGATGTTCCCGCGCCACGGTCTCCATAGATCCAGGGTCGGAGCCGTGATTGGGCTCTGTCAGGCCGAAGCACCCAGCCAGCTGGCCCTTGGCCAAGCCAGGGAGGAAGCGTTCCTTTTGCTCTTCTGTACCGAACTCGTAAATACCCGTCATGGCGAGCGAGCTCTGCACGGACATGCCTGACCGGTATCCTGAGTCCACACGCTCCACTTCCTTGGTGATCAGGCCGGATGCCACGGTGCTGACGCCGGCGCAGCCGTATCCTTCAATTGAAGCGCCAAGAAGACCTAAGTCGCCCATCTCTTCCAAAATGCGCCGGTCATAGTCCTCGTTGCGGTAGGCCTCTGTAGGGGAAACACTGACGTCAGATCACTATGTGGACGCAAGGTGAAGGAAGAATACATACCCAAAACTCGTGGCATGAGCTTATCTTGGCAGTACTGGCGTGCTGTGTCTTGAACGGCCAGTTCTTCTTCTGTGAACAGCTCCGCTGCTGCCAAGGGATCTTCCCAGTTGAAGACGGCGGACGAGGCGTATCGGCGGCCTGCAACGGCGGTAGGGCCAGCCTGGATTGAGCGCGCTGCTGTGCGAAGGAGAGATCGATTCATCATGATCCAATATTATGTAGTGAACGTTTTTGTATAAGGAGAGTGTGAACCCAATAGACAATGTTGCGGGGGAAGCTTCAAATATGCACTGACGGCGGAGAGACCTCGGCAATTTTGCAAGTTTGGGGTAAGGAAAATCACCGAGAACGGGGCCTGAATTACATACAAAATGAAGATTGTTGGACTCGGCTTGTAATTTAATTATTAAACGAGTCTGATTCGGCGGGTTCCCCGAGTATTTGGGTGTTCGCCGTGTGTTCAACCGACTCGGACTTTTTCGGTTTTCTTGCTTCGGTGTGCCAAGCACCGAGGTGTATACTCCGTCCTCAATTATAACTTCAATCAAGGCTGCTCTAAGTGCATATGTCTAATAGCCATATTCAGCTCGGTGCTAATTGGGCCGTCATTACTATGTACAGGTAGTGGAACGATCAAGGGGCATGGCAACAAGGAATGCCAGGTCTAGGATCCGCATATCACGCTGGCATCTGGCTCTGGAGGAAGTCAAACACTCCCGTGGGGAAGTAGTCCTCGTCGAATCCCCACAGATCCGCCATCATTGGGTCTACCGAACCCTCAGAGAGACCAGGTTCCTGCTTTCCGGGGGTACCAGGCGGCTCAAAGCCATTGCGGCGCTCGGCAGACAGCGGCGCAACTCCGAGCAACGGAGGTGGGTGATTCAGAATTGTATCATGCTCGCCCAGAACCTGAGCTCCGGGGATGACCACTGGCTTGAAGAGGGATGAAGAGTCGTAATTCGAGCCCATGGACTGTTGTGTCCCTGAGTTGCGCTTCTCCCATTCCTCAAGTCCCGTGAGCATCTTCCGTAGACCCCTTGCGATGTGATGACTGAGGTGGCGCTCGCTTGCGCGCTGGCTGCATGATACCATGAGCTCGACGACTCGTCCAACGAGGACACGCACGTAGCCGACATCGACGTGTAGTCCTGCAGAGGCGATCGAGGTCTGTTGGCCTTGACTCCCGGGAATGGCCCCGTTTGAGCAAACCTTGGCTGCAATTTTCAGTAGGAAGACTGCTGCAAACGTGATCATGCTGTGAAGATACAGTGGGACGCCGACAAGTGCACGCTGGATGTCTCGCTCATCTAAACAAACTTGGAGAGTGGCAATGGCTGATTCGACGGCTATGTTGGCACGCTTTCTCCGTTCAAGTGACATTTGTCCTGAGGAGGTAGAAGAATGGTATGTGCGAAGAGCAACTGAGTTCAGCTGTAATCGAGAGAAATGATAATGCATGTAGACGGCCTTGTAGGGGTATGCACCGACGTAACGGCTCCCAGCTGGATTGAGTGTCAGAACGTATAAACAGACACTGTGGATTGTCTACTACTCACCAAGTCGAGGGAGCCACGCCGATTTCCAATCTCCTAAATCAAGATCGAACTGGTCGATCTTGGGGAAATCACTCTCGGGAACCTCCAAGTCGACGTCGGGACCAAATGCAAAATATATACGGGTTAGAATTATAAACAAGTCAACTTGACTATGAAGTCGAAGGTCGCCTTGGGATATTGACGGCGACTGGGTGAAGATATTGTGTTGAGTAACACTAGCATCTTCGTGGATCATCGGTGGTCGACCATATGCAATAGAAAAATGATGTTCCAAGGTCTGAAACGCGTTAGCGACTGACAATCTTTGCTCCAAGGATTCTTACGTAGAGTAGATACCACAGCCTTGCCTGTTCGATGTGCTCTGATGACCCTTGTACGGCCTTGCGATAGAATTGGTGCAGGTTGCGTTCGGTTGCAATACGAACCGCATAGCCAGAAAGCTTCCAACTTACATCCGCAAGCCAAAAAGCTCCGATACATAGGGCGCGGATATCATCCATGGTGTGATGATGACCTAGCATGGATTCTGATGCTAGCTTTGCAAATTCGGTGTAACAAGTATCGAACGTGCGTTCCTTGGTTGGCATGTGAAGTGCAGTGACAGCCAGGATGGCAGCGGAGAGCATTGATGATGACCGTCGAACCGATGTCAAGTCTTTATGCGCCAATAATGCTCCATCCCATAGGTATCGGTTGAGTACCTGATCAAACTGAAGAAACAGCTCCTCGGCTTCTTGGATATTCACCACGCCGCGCGAGATGAAATCGGTGACCAATGCCTGGTCCGGTGCAAGCTTTTGTCCTGGCGAGCTCTCACGGTTCTCACTCAATTGTGTCACCTCGTATAGACTCCCCATTGGTGCTGTAACTAAAGAAGTAGCGCCGGTTTCCTCTCGGTCAAGAGAATATTGCGGCTGCTGCTGTGAGAAGCTATAGTTCGATGGCCTCGAACCTGTAGCATGTCGGGCAGGATTTTCAACTGACTCCGTTCGATTGTGTTGTGCAGTCCCATTATCATCAGTCGAAACGGTGGAATCTTTCCGGTTCCTCTTCTTCGAAGGTGTTTCGATCGAATTACCGCCGGCTTGGTAGTATGATAGCTCGGGTAGCTGAGACTTTCTGAGTAGGTCCGTCATCGCCAATTCGATCATCGTCTTCCACCTAAACAGCCACAGGCGCAATTAATACTTGGCAGCTCTAAACCGGACCATTGGCACTCACTCGGCTTCATCCTCTAGTAACGTTTGAAGGCTTTTGTTTACGACACACTCTAACCCCATGCGCCGACACCTTGAGCACACAGAGTCGGTTGCCTTCATGTCGCAGCGAACCTTATGCCGCTTACACTCCGTGCATGCTCGTATCCGTCGAGAAATCTTCGGGACGTGAGGCCGCGAGTGGTCCTCGGGCGTGAAGGCGCCTTGTGGAGAAGCGGACGAAGCCTCTCCATTGGCCTCGAAGTTGGTGCGATTCCGCTTCATGTTGGTATGGAGGTTGAGGTCATCCTCCGCATGGCGCATTCCGGGGAGAAAGGCGGGGTCGCATGAAGGCGCCTGGACCCGAATTACTCACATTAGACGCCTGAGGCATCCATGCGTGAGGCAGTAAGGCATAGAGCTTGGCAGATATCACATGACTGGTAGTCACGCTATCCCTTTTGGGGTTTAATGGTGTCGCGCTCTCCAGCGCGTTCGCGTACTGCGGTGTCAAGCTCAACTTATGATCCCATTCCACCTTGACCAAGACAGCTCAAGCCCACCGCCAACATGGGTATTAAGCGTGAGTGGTTTCGAATTTGGTCGTCTGTGATCCATCCTAATGAACATCAGACCTCTACCAAGTTATTTCCGAGAACGCTCCCGATGCGATCAAGACTGGCGAAATCAAGAACCACTTCGGCCGCAAGGTCGCAATTGTATGACTTCCACATCATCTACTTTGGACAAATTGTATTGAGCAAAGCTGACTCGTGATAACTTGTGTAGGATGCGTACGTCATTGGTTCACCGTCACGATAGCTCAACTAGTTGCTAACCCAACACAGGTCCATGAGTATCTACAGTTTTCTGATTGCCGTGCGATCAGAAGGTCAACAGCTGATGAGCGAGTCGGGCGAGACAACATCCCACCTGATGGGCATGTTTTACCGTACACTACGGATGGTGGACAACGGCATCAAGCCTCTCTACGTTTTCGACGGTGCCCCGCCAAAGCTCAAGTCCGGCGAATTGGCAAAGCGTGTTGCACGCAAGGCTGAAGCTACCGAGGCCCATGAAGAGGCTAAGGAGACTGGAACTGCGGAGGATATGGAAAAGTTCTCGCGACGGACCGTTCGTGTCACTCGCGAACACAATGCTGAGTGCAAGAAGCTCCTTAAGCTTATGGGAATTCCCTACATCGATGCTCCTACTGAGGCTGAGGCTCAATGTGCTGTTTTGGCCCGTGCCGGTAAGGTATATGGAGCTGCATCGGAGGATATGGATACGTTGTGCTTTGATGCGCCGATTCTCCTGCGCCATCTTACTTTCAGTGAGCAGCGAAAGGAACCTATTCAGGAGATCTACCTGAGCCGAGCTCTAGAGGGTCTGAACATGGATCGTCCACAGGTAAATTCCCCGTCAACATATAGAAGTCACGATTACTAACTACATAATACAGTTCATCGATCTCTGCATTCTTCTGGGCTGTGACTACCTGGAGCCCATTCCCAAGGTCGGGCCCAGCACTGCCCTCAATCTAATCAAGGAACACAAATCACTGGAGAAAGTTCTAGAATACATGAAGAACGACCCCAAGAAGAAATACGTGGTCCCCGAAGACTGGCCATACCAAGATGCCCGAGACCTATTTGTCAGCCCAGACGTCCGGGCAGCCGATCACCCAGACTGTGATTTCAAGTGGGAAGCACCTAACATTGACGGTCTAGTCGAGTTCCTGGTAACAGACAAGGGCTTCAACGAGGACCGTGTACGCAATGGCGCAGCACGTCTGTCAAAGCATCTCAAGTCCGCTCAACAGTCCCGGCTAGAGGGATTCTTCAAGCCTGTCGCTCGCACCGATGATGAGAAGGCCAACCTCAAGCGCAAGCACGATGAGAAGCTTCAGGAGCAGAAGAAGCGCAAGAAGGACGATGCCAAGGCCAAAAAGGACGCCAAGTCAAAGCCTCGTGGTGCGGGCTAGGCTCTGATACGAAAAATCACTCACTAAATTGGCAACCCTGTGTCATTTTGTCGAGGGATGTGATACCGCTACAAAATTTGCTGATCTAACATGAGCTGGGCTGGCGTGGGCGTTATGTGGTTTCTTGTTTTCTATGCATTGTCTTCGCTTCGGCTGTGGAGAATCCCCATTTCACGGAACGGGATGTGGTATGGAAGTCCTGTGTATAATAACCTCTCTTCATATTTGATATCAAAAGAAACAAGAAAGAGTTGACTTCGTTGTCTTTATTGTCTTAATGACATTTTCTAACTCCTTGGACACCGAGATCAGATAAAAAGGAACAATATCATGGTACCACTTTTTGTCTGATCCTCAACGCCATAACAAAGTAAAAGACCAAAACAACTCTTCCCTTGCTAATAAACCAAGTCTCAATACCAACATCCTAATCAAAAATCTTATCGCACGTTGTGGTGCAACAATCGCAGGGGGTGAACACCCAGCACGGAAGTATAGGCCGGGCCCAACTTAGTGAGAAGAATCCAACCTCCGAAACAATGACTGATCTCCACAACAATAGCAAAAAAGATTTAATAAAATAACTAAAATACATAAGCAACATCTATTAGAATCAGTTCCCACCCTCACAGAACGCAAGCTCAGCCAGGTGGTGCAAGATCAACGATGAACCCAACCCAACCCTTGATTCGACCCGCCGGTTGCAGGTGCAGATATGCAGTAATTCCTGATCCCCATCGACCAATCATCCTGATGAACCAATAATCGGGTCCATACACTAGCTAATCATAGAAAGTGCACAGCCGCAAGGGAAGAATTAGTATTTACTTGGCTTTGGGTGATTTGGAAATGGGTCAAAACGTGTTTCGCCGGATTGGGGGCTAGATCTCGCTATACTTGTGACGAAGTTAGGCTCCAGAATGGGGAACTGGCCTTGGAACGCTGGGAACGTGCAGCGGCGGGGATTTGATTGGGCTTTTTGAGCTTTGCTCATTGGTTCTTCTGCTGCTGATCTTGGGGATCGTGTGTGGCGTCGGTGTTTTTTCCCTCTCTTGCTGCTGGATATATATCGCGTGCCAGTGCCACCCTCTTTTATTCCTTCTGAAAAGTCAATCTTTGTTTGGAATGGTTCATAACTTGCCTGTATTATCTGGAGAGTGTTTCTCATTATAAAGATTAACCCAATACGAGGATATAATCAATTTATAGGTCGATTATGTATAATGTTTGTTTGTATATCTGTGTTGGAAGCTTGCTCTTGCGGTCCCACGGAGACATGAGAACCAAGAAATCAAGATGCTGCCGCGTATATGGATAACCAAGTAATGATACTCATCCAAAGAGTACAATATGCCGGTGTGTTGATATAGAGTAGTTCACATGACACGCCCATATTAGCGGAACCGTTATGCCCCGTGATCCACCTTAACTTCTATACATTCGCCACCAGGCACCAAGTCTACACATCATTGAGTCACTTTCCCGTATCGGACCATGGAAATTGACAAGTCACCAGGTGTTCACAAAACGGGTCACTTTCGGGATCTCCAACGGGCACGAGGATGCAGGTCCCCAGCAAGGGAGGGTAAGCTTCGATGACTTCAGCTGCACATCACAGCATGGAGATCTCATGCGTCAATTATTCAAGGTGCAACCCTTGACACATAGCATCCATATACACAGTTACATGTACTGTATGCACCCCGAGTCTGTGCTTCATGTTCCATTTTTTTTTTTTTTCGCAAGCGTCCAAGCTCCTTGGATTCCATAGAGGATCGCCAGATCCGGCCAGAAAAGAGGGATAGAACGACCACCCCGGATGGCATTGGAATGTGTCCATCTCCAACCCCTGGAGTTATGCATCTCGCACCGAAAATGAGGAATATATGCGCGATTTCTATTGATTCTACTGAGGGGAAGGCAAGACGCGAGACTCTTGACTGTGATCGCGCTACATGGACGAAATTATAATAAGTTCTCTTGTACTTGTTGACTTATGAGTCCATTATTAGAATTAAAGTCGTTAATGCCTTAAGAATTTCTTCATTTCATCCATGAGTATAGGGGAATGTGCAGTACCTGTACATCGACAAATGAACGCGATCTGGGAAGAGACAACAACTCAAGGTAACGAAACTCTAAGCAAAACAGATATAAAATAAAACATCCAATACAAGGAAGAGAAACCAGAAAGAAGAAAAAGAGAAACGAAGTGAGTGCTTTTTCTGATCCTGTGTCAACACCGATCGCCTATAAATCGCGGATGCCCCGCGGCCTTCTTCCCTTTCCCTTCTCTTTTTCCCTCCTTCCTACCACCACGAATTCAGATTCATTAATTCTCTTCTCGGTTCCTCGAGCTTGATCTTCTTCTCTTTCATCTTCTTCCACATCTTCAATCATGCCTCCCAAGAAGTCTACCGGCGCGTCCAAGAAGGCTGCGCCTGCTGTCCACACCTCTTACCGTGGTAAGTTTCCTCTGATCCTGCTTTCGCATCACATCGCGTAAACGCGATTTATGCATCATTATAGTCGCGAATGACTGCTGATTTGAATGATATAGATATGATCAAGGATGCCATTGTGAACGTGAGTTGATCACTGCCGGCGCGAGCCTACCTAGTTGTTGTGATTGTCGCGCCCGACCGTGACACGTCTTTGCCTTTGGGCATGGACAGCCACAATACCAAAGGCTTTTGATCTTATTTGTTGTTTTTGATTACTGACTGGTCTTTCTGTGTGTAGCTCAAGGAGCGCAATGGTAGCAGGTATGTTTCTTGTGTTTTCCACCTCGCGGTCGCCGGTACCCCAGACGGTATCGGCGGCCCGGATTTTTCAGCACCGGAACATGAAACTGACTGGATTACTCCTATAGTCGCCAGGCGATCAAGAAGTACGTCTCGGCCAACAACGACATCCATGTTATGTCCCCGGGTATCTTCGATGCTCAGTTCAACAAGGCCATCAAAGGCGGTGTTGAGAAGGGTGAATTCACCCAGCCCAAGGGTATGTTTCGTTCCAGTTTTACGCGCATTGCCCTATTCTACTTGCGATGCTTTCCAATTCCTGCACTTTGCGCTGTTTTGGATATTATATGACTGGTCAGCTGACGCGTCGCGCTCTAGGTCCCTCTGGCCCCGTGAAGCTCGCTAAGAAGGAGCCTGGTGTCAAGGCCCCTGCTAAGCCCGCGGCCAAGCCTGCCGCGAAGCCTGCTGCTAAGCCCGCTGCTAAGACTGCCAAGGTAAGATCTATCAAGGTTGTCCCTACTTCTCCTGCTAATTGTCATTGAAGGCCACCAAAGCCACCACCAAGAAGGCTGCTCCCAAGAAGGCTGCTAAGACTGCCGGCACCAAGAAGACAACCACCAAGGCTACTACCAAGAAGACTGCCACCAAGGCTGCTGCTAAGCCCAAGGCCAACTCTGGCAAGGCCCGCAAGACTCCCGTTTCCGTATGTATTTCCTGGGTGCCCCGCGCACCCCTTGATCGACAATTCACTAACGAACATTCCAGGCTCCTGCTATCGTTGAGCAGCCCAAGGTCCTGGGCAAGACCAAGTCTGGCCGTGTCACCAAGACCACTGCTCCTCCCCCGCCTGCTCGGACAGGTCGGGCAGCTCCCAAGAAGCGGGTTACCAAGAAATAGAGGAAATAACCTCCTTTTCACCAAGCCCTCCCTTATTTCACGAGCGCATTTCCAGGGAGGGCATATGGTCTTTTGTCCTTCTCCTGTAATTTCTTTCTGTCGATCCCTTGATCTTTTCGTGGGTTTGGCGGTCTTCTTTTTTATTGCTTTCTTTTGGGATATCTTCGTTATGATGGCTCTTCTTTCCAAAGTCAAATGGATGGCGTCCTGCGGTGGGTTTTGCAATGGGGAAACTACGGTCTTTTTTATTGTTCGAATTCTGTACTTGATTCTGTGAATTGGATTTTTTTTTTGGTCGGATCTAATACTTTGGTCTCAGGGTCCATGGTAGACTGTAGATCGCGTATCCTGGGCCGCGTGCCTGTAAACAAACCGTAGATCGGCTCCACGATCTATTTTTGCTTGAATGACACATGTCTTTTAATCTGACCTCGTTTTGCGTCCTAAGTCCTTTTCATCCGAACTCGCTGTATCTCCAATGCTTTATTCTCATCAGAGATACAGTCTCATTACCTTACTAAATGAGACACAGTTGGAAGAATCGTTTCATCTATATAGACAGTTTCAACCCCCGCATAAAATGTCTTTCATGTATGAAAATTAAACATAATAAAGCAGAGTAGAGCCTGTCAGAACAGCCAAAGGGGCAAGTGTCACATCCAGCCCTGTCACCGTAGCCAAGAAGTCCAGCCCATAAGTATATTACGCCCAATCTCCGATCTCCCGACCTAAGTATAGTACCCATATTAACATACCACAGGGGCCATAAAGTGTGTATACAGTGCAGTAAAATATTGACAATTTTCTACGCGAGAACCTCGAAGCGAGTATACCATTTCATGCATTATTGTCGCCCGCCTCTGGCCTTGAATTTTTCACCTCTTTCGCCCATTTTCGAGTGCCTCGGTTCATGTAGATTGTATAGAGGTCGGAATGTGAAAGGACTTCTGGCCTATGACTGTAGATACAGTACTGTACTGTACAGATACATGTCCATGTGGCTTGGTCTAACTTACCCAACACTAAGAACGGAGCACGCTGTATATGAGCAGGCGTCCGTGTGTGGAGAATTTCCCCTGTGGCGTAGCACGAAATGATTTCATTATGGGGCACTATTTTTGGCACTTTCGTTCTGGAGATGGTAAATACAGTAGAATGGCGATGGAAGGAAGGGTAGAAGGTTCTATGTGATTGGATATGTACGGCGATATTCGTCTTATCTTGAGGGGGGTTGGCAGTCGATGCTACGCTATACTGTAGGGTCCGGGTCAGGGACAGCCGATAGTGGTCTGTTATTGGTTGGACTTTACCCTGTATATCGTCTATCGTATCATTTTGTACGGAGCACTAAATAGCCTTGGAGAATGTCGACTGTAGGTGGACTGTAGACTGTATGTGTATATATGTATGACGTTCGTATACTTGGATAGACCTGGTTGTGCGACACCGCCGATCTCCTTGCATGGGAGGGGTTGGGACACATGGTCCAATAGTAGTAATGTCAGGGATTAGTAGTAGAGTAGTGTAGAGTAGTGTAGAGTAGTAGTTTAGTAGTAAGTATCTTACAATACTATAGAGTAGCAGAGTAGCGAAGATGAAATAGTAATAAGGGTAGGAAGTGGTCCATATCGAATTTTTATGCAGCAGCCTGATATCCCTCCACCCTGGCACAACTTAAAAAATAGGGGACTTGAAAGATCTATGTCGGAACGGAATAATAAAGAGAGAGGAGAATTAAACAGAGAATACATAGAATAGAGAGCTGAACAGTGGAGTCGACGTACAGTAATTACGACACGCACGTCTTTTCTCCCCGACAACCATCTTCCCTCTCTCTTCCCCTTCTCTTCCACCCCCCCCATATTTTGCCCCATCTTCCCCTAATTCTTTGTCCCCCTGCGCATTGTGTTACCGAAACATGTTTATCGGTTGAGCACCTTCACCCTGAGCACTCTGGCTCTCTTCCTCTCTGGAACCCGGCCTGGTTTACAACTTCCCTGGTCCGCCCATAAAGGCCGTCACTTCGGGTTGCCGGTCCACGCAGGGCTCACGTCACTTCCTTGAAAAACGCAGCCATGCCCTCCTTCAACGACGTCTCCTACCAAACAACTACTGCCACTGCCACCCACCCTCGTTCCTTCGAATCCCCCCGAAAGTCGCACGACAAAAACTCCGTCGGAAACACCTTCCTGTGGACCAACTATCCCAACGACGCGAATCACGACTCCCTCCAGAATGACCGATCCCTTCTGACCGACTTCAAAAACGGCAGTGCATACTCCCTGAATGGCCCTCGGTCAAGTGTCAGCTCGTACACGCGCGATCCGCCGCTTTCCAAGGACGGCAGCATGCACTCGGTGGCCAATGGGTCCGCCAATCCCCGCGAGACTAGCCGGCCCTCCATGTTGGACCGGAAACCTTCAGACGCTGGGCCGGGAGCGGGCTCCACGACAGCATCAACCAGCCAACAGATCAATGGCAATGGGAACTATCGCCCTGTTCCAGGGAAGCTGGTGGTCAATGGGGATACACACCGGCCCTCCGCCGACGAACTCTCTATCTCTCCCTCCGCGTCGCTATTACAGATTCCCCAACCCGACGAAACGGGTCGTCACTCACCCGATACTGATCGCTTGACCCCGACCTCGAAGCCTGGCGGGCAGCGCCACTCCTCTCCTCCTGCCCCGGCAATTCTCGACGCTAGTCCTATCCCCGAATCTCAGGGCTCTAGTATGCGCCACCGACATTCGTTACAAGTCCCGAGGGCACCTAGTGTTCGACGGGATAGCAGGGAATATATCGACGATGCCGCATACAGCACCGGCCGGATGTCTCCCACTAGCGGCTTCCGACGCACATCCGTTAGTTTGATGCGAAGGGCGACGAAAACCACTCAGCCTGATAGTGCCGTGGACGAGGCGCCTCCGGATGAAGATGCGGCTCGATGGGCCGAAGCCATCAAGCAAAAGCGTGCATCGCGACGCCGACGAGAGGAGGAGGACGATGAGCGGGTGATTGTCGGAACCAAGGTTGACCAGAACCACGTCAACTATGTGACAGCATACAACATGTTGACTGGTATTCGCTTCACGGTTTCGAGGATCAACGCTAAGATGGACCGGGAACTTACTGCTGCGGACTTTGACGCCAAACACAAATTCTCCTTCGACATGTATGTTTGTTTGTTCGGGGTTGACTTGGTCGTGACTAACATTAGCAGTACTGGAAACGAACTGATCCCCTCCGCGAAATACGATTTCAAGTTCAAGGACTATGCACCTTGGGTCTTTCGACACCTGCGCGCCAAGTTCCGTCTCGATCCCGCCGATTATCTGATGTCCCTAACCAGCAAGTACATTCTGTCCGAACTCGGCTCCCCTGGCAAAAGTGGGAGCTTCTTCTACTTCTCGCGCGACTACAAGTATATCATCAAGACCATTCACCATTCCGAGCACAAGCTTCTTCGGAAGATCCTCCCTGAGTATTATCGACATGTGGAGAACAACCCGAACACTCTGATCTCTCAATTCTACGGACTACACCGAGTTAAGATGGCCTATGGGCGCAAGATTCACTTCGTTGTGATGAACAACTTGTTCCCGCCACACCGAGACATTCACCAGACATTCGATTTGAAGGGATCGACTATTGGCCGTGATTTGCATGAGTCTGATCTCGAGAGGAACCCGCGAGCCACCATGAAGGACTTGAACTGGGTTCGTCGGAATCGTCACATTGAAGTTGGTCCGATAAAACGTGACTTCTTCATTGAACAACTCAAGCGTGATGTTGTGTTGCTCCAAAAACTCAAGATCATGGATTATTCATTATTGGTAGGAATCCACGATGCAGCGAGGGGCAATGAAGAGAAGCTGCGCGATAAGACACTGCAAGTTTTCCAACCGGGAGGCGACCGTGAAGAAGATACAAGTCCCAACTCGCTGATACGCACTCCATCGAAACTGGAGAATGAGCGCAAAGCCCGGGAACTTCGTATGCTCATCAAGCGGGAGCGCCCCGTTCCCCTGGATAAAGCCGCAGCAAAGATGCCGGACGAAATTCTTGACGAACGGAAATATCACGTCTTCTACGCCGACGACGGAGGTTTCCAGGCCACCCATGAGAATAACCAACCTGGTGAGGAGGTTTATTACCTCGGTATCATTGACTGCCTGACCCATGTAAGTACTGCTTCTCAAATGGACGAAACACAGCTGACATACTTCACAGTACGGAACCATCAAGAAAATCGAGAATTTCTTCAAAGGTCTCTCGCATGATCGCACACAGATCTCTCCAATTGCGCCAGAAGGCTACGGAGAACGCTTCATTAATTTCATCAAGGGCATCACCATGTCCAAGGAAGAAGCCGAGCGACATCGAGAAGCTCAAGAAGCTTCCGCTGCAGCTCAAACATCAACCGATAGGGGACACTCAAGATCCTCCTCCGTGGAACGGACCATGCAAGCAGCAGAGAAAGAGGCATCGAAAGACGTTTCTATCACCCATCCCCGCACATTAGCCACAGTCTGGGACCCTGCGGATGCAGGAGGCCCTGGCCCAACATCGACTCTTCCCATCGTGGACGAAGCCGGCGAGGCAAGCAGCGTCGGAGGCCACAGCTCTCATAGCCGAAACGGTCCTCCCGCATCTGACAAGGCACTCCCTCCTGTTCCTAACGATGTTCCCCCGCCAACACCTAGCAAAGGCAAGGAACCTGTCCGGGCCAACCTTCTGACTCCGACAAGTCCAGCCCGTCGTTGATTTTGATGCCTTTACCCTGCGTTTGCAGTGGCATCTTTGACGTGCGCTTTCTTTTCGTCTGTTCATCTGATTTTTTGTATTCAGCGAGATATCCCCCCTGTTTCTCTTGATAGATGTCGCCTATTTCATTTCCTCAGCATGGGTTTGCGCGAGGCATCTCATTCCGCTTCCTCCTTTTCCCTCTAACTCTCCATCTCCACTTTCTGCAAGAAACTGATGTTCACGAGTGACATGTGTATAATTTTTTTGATTGTTGAGCGACTCGTTCCCGTCTCTTCGTGTTGCCTTTGCCTCTTCGAGGACTCGATCTGGTGTTGGGCTAAGCCGGAGCCAAATCCCATCACCACACTGGCTCTTTCCCCCATCTTATCTCAATTGTTTTCCCTCTCTAGAGCTTGGCTCTAATTTACTAACAAGATCATGTACCACCATCAGTGGATGAATAGATCTCCCCTTCGTTGATTGTCGGTACATGCCACGCCGCACCCTCTATATCATATCCAGCTCCCACCCCCAACATTCTGCCCAATCCAATTCTGTCTTTCTATCATCTGTGTCATCACGCACACACCCACACCAGACTTATCAGTCTCCCTTCTACCAACACATCTTTTCCTTTCCTATTTCCTTCTTCCCCTCAAGGGTCGGTCCTCAAAAGAAGAGGACTACCCTCAAACCTACCGGCCTAGACAGCCCATACAAATTCGTTCCAAGAACGCAATCCTTTTGCCCCTTTGTTTCTCATTTTTCTGTTGCCTTGCCTTGTCTTGATCGAGTCTCTCTCCATACCCTGTACCAATCAAATCACTATACCACATGTTTCCTCGAGATTTTCGCTTTCTTTCTTATTTGTCTTGTGAGGTCCTACTTAGCAGAATCCAGCGTACGAGCTTTTTATTGAGTTATTTTAGTCGTCCAGTATAGCCTTTGTAGTTCTTTAGTGTTAGGTAGAAGGTTAGAGGGATTATAGAAAGCCCCAAGTGTGGCTCTAATCTTGATAACGTTATTAGGTGTTTGTAACTAGAACATAAGGTACGGGCAAGTCTACTAGTCTTAATGAGAAATACGGGTATCGATCGACCACTACAAATGTCCATTTAAATTAGACAGGACATGAAGCTACAACAGGGTTCATAACTGTACACAGTGCCATTGACGAAGTATTGGACAGTCTCTGCACGAAAACCTCGAATTATAGTTGGTTATATAAATACAGGTAGGGGCATGAAAGGACTTATGGCCTATGACCGTAGTCTTGATTAGAGCGATACAATCTAGACTAACCAGTACCACCAGCACTACTAGATATAAAATTACGCAACAAAAAGAAGCCGTAATAGGCAAATTCATTATTCAAGCACTGCTTGTAAACGAAGCGAGAATAATCAAGAGAGGGGGTAAAACAGGGGAACTATCGTAAAAGCCACCTTCCTTCCATCGCGCAGAAACAGAAATAAAGAAGATGTGTAAGACCTGCCCATCCATCACTAGACGCCAAATCCTCGAATAGAGAAAAGGATTTAAAAAACGAGAAAAATCAAATGTGAAATGTCAAAAGCGAAAAGAAAAGTAACACCGCGCCCATACCCCGCCCCCGATTGACCATTGAGAAATCAGAAATTGGAAGTTGTAAGTTGAAATGGGCATAGATATTGTGCAGTGTGCAGTGTGGAGTGTGGAGTGTGCAATGTGCAAGGAAATCAAAGACTAGATTAGCCAACAGTGCAAGGAACAGAATGCAAAGAGGAAAGGAAGTCTGATTTCATTTCCTTTCTGCTGTAGTTTTGGTTTCGACTACTCCGACCTGCCCTGGGTAACCTTGGCCGCCTGGATAGCAGACATCTTCTGCGTCCAGGCCTGGCTAGGCTGGGGTTTCTTGACGGTGCGGAGGTCATCAGTTGAGAAGCCTGAGATACGCATGTTGTAGTTGCGTTCCAGGACGAGTTGGATATCTCGTAGCTCGAGGGTTGATGAAGGGCGGAGTTTGGCGAGGCGGCAGGCTTGGGTGATAACGTCGTCGACGAAGTCGTCGGCCATTTGGAGGATGAACTGGGTGAGAGTGGTCAGTTTTGGCTGTCTTTTTGCTTTGCCTCTCACTTTTCTTTTGGAATTCGGGACTTGGAACTTGATATTTGAAAGTGATTGGGTGACTTACCTCTTCTGCGTCCGGAGTGAGCATTTCTCCTTCGCCGCCGCCGGTGACTTGGCGCACGAGGATATCGAGCATCTTCTTGCTTAGTACGCGCTGGCCTTCACCTTCGAGGACGTAACCGGGGTGCTTTTGGATTGCTGGCTGGCCCATCATACCGATGGCGCTGTGGCTGGGGCCACCTGAGAGGGAGGGACGCGAGGCAGGCATTGAGACGGGCTCGGGGGTGGAGACGTTGAGGTTCTTCGGGATTGCCATATTGATGTTACGGGCGGAGGCTTCGGTTGAGCGGTTGGCGAGGTATCCCTGGGGATGGGCCTGGTTGGCTTGGGCTTGCTGGTTCATGGTGTTTTGTTGTTGTGGGGTAGGGTTGGTGTAGGTCTGCGCGGCTTGTGAGATCGCAGCTTGGTGAGACAGGGGACGTGGCGGGCCTTGGTTCACCTGTTGAGGAGGCACAGTTGGTGTTGGTGTTGAGCCGTCCGGATTGGGGGTTTGGCTGAAGGTTACCTGTGCTCCTGGGGTTCCTTGCTGTGATGGGGGTTGCGGACGCTGTGCCTGGGGTTGTGGTGCACTAATTGGGACGGGGGTATTTCCTGCGGATTGGGATGCTGGTGTTTGTCCGGGTTGCATGGCCGAGGGGGACATGGCAGTTTGGCCAGCTTGGTTGCGTGCCGCATTCACGGCGGAATTGATTGTGTGGGGTGCTGGGGTTGGAGCCTGGCCAGATTGCATGTTGTTTCCTGTGTTGCCTCCCTGAGTATTCGGAACAGCTTGGGTTGCTGCTGGAGGAGCAGCTCCTCCAGCTGCCTGATTCTGAGGTGGTTGCGGGACTGCTTGTTGTCCCGCTTGATTCATGGTCTGACTCTGGGGATTTTGCTGTGACTGGATTTTGAAGCTTTCTTGCTGCTCCTTGAACTTGTTTAGGAACTCACTACCTTCCCGGAACAGCTTTTCGGCTGCCAACTGTCTGTTCTTGAATTCTTGGATTTCCTCCTGGTTCATATTTCCCTGCGCCTGTCTCTGAGAATATGATGAGCGAAGCTCAGCAATCCGAGCCCGCCCAACCTGCTGCTTCTGCAGAGCAATACCATATCGCAACCGAGCCTCCGGAATCCAGGTCTGCACCTGCTCCGGCGTCACGTTCGGAGGCAGGAAAAAGTTCAGCGAGCTAACCTGAGCCTGGATCTGGGGAAGCAGTTGATTGAGCGACTGCGGGTTATTAGGTTGGGCGCGCTGGCCCGGTTGCGCCTGTGCACCTTGTGGCCCCTGGTTTCCTTGTTGTGGCTGCTGTCCCTGCTGCGCGGCCACCTGGGCCTGTTGATGCTGTTGCATAGCCTGCTGTCGGTTCGCCTGGAACATGCGCATCCCTTTCATCAAATTCTGCGACAACTGCGACAATTTCGTGTGTGCCTGTTGATATTCGTGTGTGTTCGGGTCGCGTGTGTTGAGCAATTCCCACAGGCTGCGCACCAGCTGGGTATGCTGGGCCTTCTGCTGGTCGTTAAGGTGCGGCAGCTTCTGCACTTGGTCGGTTCGAATGAGGTTCGAGTGTTGCGGTTGCTGTGGCGCCGCCATGGGCTGTCCAACTTGCCCCTGAGACCCGTCCATCTTTGCGATGAGGTTCCGATTTCTATATGGAGGAGCGGAAGAGCACGAGGAGCCCTATGATGTCGGCGACGCGTGGACCGATGCAGAAACGTTCGGCGGAGATATCTGCAGTCGGAAATTATTGCAGCGGCCGGTCTATGGTGTATCCAACGAGATGGCGGAGCGAGAGAGTCTGAAAAGAACGAAGCTCGATGGCGGGATGCAACTTTGACGGAGGTGAGGTCGACGGTCCAGTGCTGGTCTTGGCACCCCGTTTTATAAGGGTAGGACTACTACACGGTTACCGCCGCCTAACTACGCATCATGTACATTGTTTTCTCTTGTAGAAGAGTGTTACCGGATATTTGTTGCCGTTGCAGATCTGTCGGTAGGAATTGAGATTAATTGGCGAGCTGTGGGCATCGCGACGAAGCATTTAGATGGGTACTACAGTCATAGGCCCTGAGTCCTTTCACACCCCCATTTGTGTATAAACAATTACAATTCGAGGTACTCGAATACAGGCAAAAGGAGGTGAAAACAGAGAGACCAAATTAGGGCGAAAACCCTACATGAAGCGGTCCAATAGTTCATCAGTGGCACTGTATACACACTTAGTGACCCCTGTTGTCTAAACATATGGGAGATCAGAAATTGCATCCATTGGTAAAGATTCAGAAAATGTATGTATCCAACCATCTAAGATATATAAGTATACACAGGCATAAAAGAGGCAATGACCTGGAGAAACGACACAAACAGAGCTGAGAAAAGAAAAGGACATATGTTTACATGGGAGAAATTCCCCTCTACTTTCTCCGCTTCATGGTCTTCTCACACATCTCAATCAGACCGGTCTTAGCATCGCTGTCAGGGAAATCGCTGATGGCAGCAATGGCCTTGTCGGCGTATTCCTGGGCCAGAGCGCGAGTCTGCTCGACACCATCGCTGCGGTAGACGATTTCACGAGCCTAGTATGATCGTCAGTATTCTGTGTTAAGGAAAGTTTGAACACGGATCACTCACCCGCTGCACATCACCCTCCTGGCGGAACTTCCGTCCAACTAGAGGACCCAGCTCAGGGTTACTCTTCCATGCGAACAAAAGCGGCGCAGTCGCCAGACCCAACTCCAAGTCCGCACCAACTGGCTTGCCCATCTCCGCCTCGGTAACCGTGTAATCCAACATATCATCCACAAGCTGGAACGCCAATCCCAAGTTGCGGCCGTAGGCGTACGAGGCTTCAATGACCTCTGGCGCACTCCGGCCCAGGACCGCAGCGGAGCGGCAGGACTTGCTAATAAGACTGGCAGTCTTCAGGTAGGTCTTCTGAAGGTAGTAGGAAAGGGTCTCGTCGGTGTAGGCGGGCTTGGATTCGTCTTGCGCGGTGTTCTTCAGCTGCATGAACTCGCCCTCGACCAGATTAGCAATTACAGTGGCCATCAACTCCGTCACCTCGGGATCACGGAGACGAGCGAGTGCCACCGAGGCACGCCCAAGCAGGAAATCACCCGCCAACACAGCCATCTTGTTTCCGAACGCCAGGTTCGCGGAACTGTTGGCGCGGCGTGTCACCGCATTGTCGATGACATCGTCGTGCAGGAGAGAGGCTGTGTGGATCAACTCGGTGATTTCGGCCAGGCGCCGCTGCGAAGGCAGGATGTTCTCGTCTCCCGAAAAGTCATATTTGCTCTCGGCGGATTTGGACACCAGCGGGTTCATCTCTGGGTTGGCGTCATCGAGGATCGTCTGTGCGGTAAAGGAGTCATCGACGGTGGCGGGTTTATCGGTGTAGGTGTGATGCTTGCGCGGGTCCAGGGCCGTGGCCTGGGACATGAGGAGGACCAGCAAAGGCCGCATGTGCTTGCCCTCGCTGTGAGTGTAGTATTTGGCGACCTTGTCGAGCGCCGGGTGGCCGGAGCCAAGCAATTGCCGGATGTTCTTGGTGAGGAACTTGAGCTCTTTTCCAACAATTCTCAACGGGTCGACGGAGATGCCTGCAGGCGCCTTCGGCATACCCTTGAAGATGGTCTGGGCCGCCGACACGGCAGCTCCGAATGGCGAAGCATCCCTCCGGCGGGTAGGGTGATATTTTCGGGATTGAAGAGCAACTTGCGTTAAGCGGAGGTCATCGCGGAGGCATTGGGTGCAGACAGATGTCGCGGTCGGTCGTGATGAGAGGATCAGCCCAGAGGCCGATACGGTTCGAGCTCCCATGCTGGAAGATCAATTATAAAAGAATGGAAGGTTCCAAATTACACCATGGGAACCCAATCCCAGGAATCGACGTTGATGCAAGTATTCGCGGAATATGAAGACAGGTACAATCTTGAACGGGAAGATTTCGAGCTCTCGGGACGGCACGGACCCGGTGCAGCTCAACTCCTACAGATATCACCGTCCTCTACATATTTGTCTGGATATTGGTCTACGGTGGCATTGATTGCCTAAACAAATACTGTGTCCCGAAAATATGTGTAATTCTACATTTCAGACTCTACAGACTTGACAAAAGTAGCATCCGATGCACAAATAATTCCAGTATAAGTGACACAGATTGCGCCGACCATCTTAGTCCTGCACATCCACCGTCGTACACATCCGAATAAAGTCCAAAGCAAAATTGCAGAATTAAGACACAGGTTGAAAGAGGCCACTACGGGGTGAATACCATGCATGGGGCCAGTGTGAAAGAAAAAAAGCTGTATCGATTATGGAAACATCCACTCCCCTTTACATGGCATCAAAATCGCCGCCGGCATCTTCATCGTCTATGTCGCCCTCTTGAATCTCCTTGGCAAGTTCCCGCTCCCGCTCGCGGGCTTCTTGGGCACTCTTGAGCTCCAGACGGTGCTGGTTCATGGGGAAACGCATAGCCTGTGATGGGACGAACTATGTTAGACGACCCACAGGAAACAATGTGGGCAGAGATTAAAGAACATACCTTGACACTCTCATCGTGAAGAGCGAGACAAGCACGAATACGCTCGTGGAACGCCTCACCGGGCTCTCTGGTGGCGTAGATATCACCAACCTCCTTGCTCTTCATGAACCCGTGCTCGTGGTCGAGTGTGGCCTCAATCACACCGTCCCGAATAGCCTTGGCTACAATGTACTCGGCAGACTCTTCGCTGTCAAGTCCGAGGCGAAGACAGATATCGCGCAAAGAGATACGGGAGTAAGACAGCGACATCATACGAATACCGGTCTTGATGACATTCTGTCGGAGGCGCAAAATCAGGGTGTATGTGCCATCCTTTCGGAAAGTCTCACTGTGAGTGTTGACAATGTTGAGGAATCCATCGAGGTCACCTGCACCGACTGCCTGCGAAAGCAACAGGTAAGGATGCATGGCCTGCTCCAAAGCCGGCTGGCGGAAGACAGCACGGTCTGGAATGTCACCCATCAACAGCTCAACGACTACCAACAGCTTGTGAGAAGCCTGGTAGAACCCGCGAGCAACGGGGCTGGCAGGCGACTTGCGGGTAGCGCCAATCAGATGACTGTGAGCCTCCGTATATTGCAATTGGATGGAACGGATGCGGCCAAGGTAATATAGGTACCGAGCAATCTGGTTGTTGGAAGCAGCGACAGGGAATGGGTTGTGGGAGATCAGAAGATCTGCCTGTGAGATGTGAGACGTGGACAGGTAGTTGCGAAGCAAAAGTGTCATCACAGTGGCCTGTGTGTCGACGTCTTTCCGGAGCACAGCTGTACGCAGAGCAGCCAACAGTGGCTGACGGATAGTGGTAACAGCCGCTGCGGGAGAAGGAGGGAGCGGAGAAATTTGTTCGTAGAAGAGGGAGTAGTAGAAGTACACGCGGGCAGCGAGGGAATCCAGCGTACGGCGGTTGAGTGCACGCAGACGCTCAATCAAGTCTGTTGAGAACTGAGCGCCCTTCTGGATGTCCCGCTTGTCGAAGAGATAGATCTGAACCAAGATGGATAGGTAGGCGTCCACCTCGGCAAGAGTCTCCTTGGGGACTGCCTTGCTCTTCTCCGAATCCACCTCCATCTGCGAGATAGCCGGGGTATTCTCGAAAGCATCCGATTTACCGAGAGCCTCCAGCAAGAATGAGGCTGTCGAGTTGGAAGCGGTGTAGGTGTCGACAATGACTTCGGCGAGGACCTCGGGGGTGATGTGTTTCCGCATCGAGGATATGGACCGCAGGACACGGAGGGTAAATCTGGGGTCGAAATGGGCAACGGCTCGCTCGAGCAAAGTGAAGTTAGTCTTGATGTCTGAGTCCAAGTCGAATAGAGGGTTGTTTGTTAGCAATGGATCTGTCTTTTTCTTGACCAAGAGAAGTTGACAAACCTTGAATGGCCTTGGTCGTTGGGTCGACCTCAGGCTCCTTCTCATCATCATCCTCTGTTCCCTCCATCACCACATCCTCCCCCTTGTCCTTGCCGGATGATTTGGAACCCTTGGTCGGGGGCACTACTACGGTCATCTTCTCGTCACCTTTGCGGTCCTTGTTGGTGTTGAATCCGGATGTAGGCGCACCTGCCGTATCCTCTCCCATCTCAACATCTTCAGAACCATTCACGCCATTCTCGGTTGACTTCGATCCGTTCGTATGCGAGTCTTTTTCCCCCATATCACCGTTCGATGCGCCCTTTGCGTCTTTCTTGGCCGGAGCTGACTTGGCCTTGTTAGCGGCTGCACGGGTGGTAGGCGCGGCCTTGTCTTTCGCACTCGAGCTCTGGGAGTTCGAGCGAGCCTTTTCACCGTTAGCAGATGAAGAGGCGTCGGATTTGTTGTTTGATCGCAAAGAACGCCTTTCGGCCGGCATCTTTCTCAAGCTGTCGAGCTCAGGTGAGCAGCCACCAAGCTACCGGGAGAAGTAAGGGAGAAGGGCGAGCAAAGTGTAGAGACAGGAAGCAGAAAGGCAAACCCTAGAGATCCTAACTGCCAATAACACGGAATATGATGAGAAAAACCCTGTGCGGACAGATGGATGAAGTGGATGGGTGATGTGATGTCAAGATGGGATGGACGGGCGCAAGAGACCAGACGAGCAGCTTAGTCAGGGGGAGCTTACTGGTCGAGTCGCCGCAGTACACTCTCGATAGAAGCTGCGAGAACAAAAAGAAAATATTGTGAAATCAAATTCAAGACGAAGAGCAGAGTTGTATTCAATCCAGAATTACTTTCCAGGCCTCAATTTCGGTGTGGCAGTTGATGAACAGGCGGATTCTGAACATTCTGCCTCAGGCAACACTGCAGCTCGGAGTAAACAACGGCGCAAGAAGGAAACACTCACTCTAAGCAACTATTCACAGTTTAGAGCTCCAAATACCGCAACTATGACCCTTCTCAGCTCCCACCTGGAGCAGATCACACTCTCCTCCAATGCTATTGCCGATTTGCCGTCAGTTCCTTTGATACCCTTCATGCTGTGCAGACTAACGCAAGCGTCCAGGTTCCCTCCCCCGCGGATTTTCACCACTGCGCTGCTAGGATCTCACGATATCACAGCCCTGATCCGAGACACAGAAGCCCATGAGCGGGCTCTCTTCCAAGTTGATCCCTCCTCCAAGGCCCATGGACACAAACGCGCCGCACGACGCGGGACTATGTTCCCCGCCGAGCCTGAAAACGAGTCAATGGCCAGCCGAATCTATTCAGCACGGAATAACCGCAACCAGTCTGCGGTGGCAAAAGTCCTTGGACATGATATGATGGAAGAGATCAAGCGATCTGCGGGCACCTCAACCCGAGGACCCCGCGGGGAGGTCAACATTGAAGTTCTTCTTCGAGGCGCTGAGATCCTGTGCAATGTTTAGTAAGTCTCGTCGCCCCAGCAGAATACATTATCTTGGTCTAACGGACTCGAAGCCCCGTTGCTGGAGCACAGGAAAAAATCTCCAGCCTCCGCTATCGTCATGAGATCGTTACCGAGTCTATAGCTCGACTGGAAGACCGGGTCGCGACCAACACAGCGGAGCTGGATCAGATGAGACACTCCTATGAAGGTGATCAGGATGACTTTGCTCCTGTGTCCGTTGCACAGCCGGAGGTTCCAGATGTCACCGATGAGGATATCGAGCGAGAGATGGCTGAAATCAGTGACTTGGAACGGAGAAAGCGAACACTGGAACAACGAGTTGCAGGCATGGAGCGAGACCTAGGAGGTCTGATTGGCTGAGCTTTTCACGAGCTCTAGGGTTTCATTCTCTCAGTAAAGGACCTACTATCAACCGGCTGGGGCTGCGTTCCTGTCCCCCCAAACACCAGACATGCATGGGCCATAGATGCGCAATTTGACTGGCTGCCATGTTTCTTAGTCAAGGAAAGCCAGGCCCCTGCCTTGTCCCTCATGTTCCACGGCGGCTTTATGTGTCTGGCTATCGTCAATTGTTGTTGGTGACCATGGGGATTCAAATGAAGTTTATCCCGGGTCACCACCAATTACTCGATGTCTTAGTCCGCGGCATATGCTGCACATTTTATCTGGCCAAAGAAAGCTCTTAAATCATGTTTGATCATCACTAACGATGCTCTATCCGTCTGGGTCGAGGACAACGATTCTAGGTCGCTACTACACAACCTCTGACAATCATGTCCGTGTTATGCCAACTTCCAGTGACAAGATACATATGGCTTGCTCATTTCATGTATTACGATGGTTATGATTATCAATATCAATGATTCTTAGTTTTACGAAGGTTTTCATGCAGCATGGGTCAGACATGTTTATACGGTGCCATTGATAGAGTATTGGACAGTCTCTACACGAGTATACCATGGTTTTCACCCCATTTTAGCCTTTATTTTCATCATCTCTTATTTGCCCATTTTAGACTGCCGCGAATTGTAGTTATTGTATATAGTAGTCCGTTGAGTGTTTCCTCCGTCAGAACAATGCCACTTTCGGGGAAAAAACAGGGGCTCGGGAAGCTACTAAGTATACATCGTCTGATTAGCTCAATGCCACGTAGAATCGCGGCTGTAGGGGGTGCGAAAGGCTTGTACACTAATATTAACTATTGAATGAAATTCTAGTCATTTCTCTATTATTTGCATCAAAGATTGATTAAATTGGGTAAGAATTGACTGAGGTAAACGTAGTTCCTCCATGGATACCAGAATCGAGGGCTTGTGCTATATCATACGCTTCATTGTTGGATAATCTAACGTAGTGTATTAAATATCAATGCTTAATTCCCTGCTAATACACCGTGATAGGTTAAATGCAGTATAAGCATAATTTAATAGTTCTTTATATAAGAGTACGCTTGATCTACGAGGCATGTATTCTCCTACTACGAATCTACGATATTAAAGCTCTTACGCTGCTAACCTACAGCAATAATTATCACTGCACCTAGTAAGGATGGCGGCCCCATCGTGTTGTCGTCCCATGCCTTGTTTGACCGAGGTGTATGGGCGGTAATCCTCCAACTTTTGCTGAGAGGAGCCCTAGAAAGCTAGACAAGCGTATCAATTGAAAAGCTCTTTTTTATATGGGCCCATATCTCTTCAATAGGGTTCAAATCTGGTGAGTGAGCAGGCATTCTATGACATGAACCCCGGCAATTTTAGAAGGCGATATCTCGTTATGTGAGGCCTATAAACATAGCCGATCGAGTCTCATGAAAAAGCTCCGCGTTTCCAGCACGATTTCCATTTAATTCGGTACCAAAACGACGCATATTGGTGGAGTTATGAGGTAGAAGATCCGACCAAATTGTCAACAGACTCATGACACCCTTGTATCATAGGCTCGGCGCTACGGGGTTGAAGCTCCTCGCACCGGTGTTTCACGGCAGAGATATTCAGAGCTCAAGACTCGATTGAAATGGCTATCTACCAAAATTGACCTTATATAGCCCCAAGCCAACTGAAGCAGTCGCAGTTTCATGTTCCTGACAGCTGGTCGGATCACGCGGGGTACTAAAGGGCTACAGAGGTGGGCCCAGTATGTAATGTATGTACAATATAAATACACAAATGACATACATTGAGGTAGGTAATATATATGAATTACCAAGACCATACCAGTAATGCCGAGGTACCCAGGACCTCCGTCATCCCGTGCAAGCTGCAACTCCACTTGCTCTAACTTATCTCTTGCTCTCTCGCTCTGTCTTCGTCTCCCACGCTATCTCACTCGTTTTACCTTGGAGCCGGTCTCTTCATTTGCTCCTTGTCTATTCGCTGTTGGAGGTAGCTCTCCCAAATTATGGAGCTTTCGATACTCCCGCATTGATCGACTAGTTCCCGATGGGTTCGCTTGGTAGCTTCCTCTTTGTTTACGCCCTCGGTGGAATCACCTTCATTCCTCTCGTTCTATCCTTAATCCTTCTGTACGCCTACTTCACATTTCAAACTGCCCCGCAAGCGCAGCAATCATGCGCCAAAGCGACCGATCCGATCCGCCAGCCTACCGATGACGACTATAGTCTCAAATCCGGCACCGACCAGCTGGCTGAGAAATTCCACCGTACCCACGAGTCCGATGTCGCTGCGGGATATTTTGCTGTCTGTCGTGAATATGTTCCCGGGGGCGTGAATGGGAAACCGCCGGAGAGGACGACGCCCGCCGGGGAGGTCGTCGCGACTGAAAGTCCCAGCGTCTATCAGGCTATGTACCGGAGTTTGTTCGATCGAAAGCAGACGCCTAGTATTGAGCCAGCGAAGTCGAATGGAAAGACCACTAAGCGGGCACGGAACGTCTTTTACATTGTTCTGCGGTATGTGTTTCTGGGGTGGGTGCGAGCTGCCTTGTAAGTGCCGGTTGCTAACAATCAATGCTGTCTTCCAGACATGGTCACTTGATGCTCTATGACGATGAAAATCAAGTTGAAGTTCGTTATGTCATTTCTCTCGCTCACCATGATGTGACAATATATGGCGGAGAAGGGGAGATCCCAGAAGGAGAGCTGTGGCTCAAGAGAAATGCCATTTGCCTCTCGCGGCGACTGGATTCGCTTGGTGACCTGGGAGGCCCGACTCCGCCGTTTTACCTCTTCTCTGAGAATCTGTCTGAGAAAGAGGATTTCTATATCGCCATGCTGCGAAACCAGAATAGGCTGTGGGACTCACCTGATCGCCCGCCTAAGCACCAGGAGTTTGATACCAAGCATATTGTCACGTTAGTTCAGAGACTGCATTCCTCTGAAGAGCAATTGCAGACACGCTGGATCAATGCTTTCCTTGGGAGATTGTTCCTTGCGCTATACCGGACACCTGAACTGGAGGAGTTTGTGCGCAGCAAGATCGTCAAGAAAATCTCTCGTGTCAACAAACCCAACTTCATCAGCAAGGTGGGCTTGCAGCGAATCGATATGGGCGAAGGGGCGCCATTCATCACCAATCCAAGATTGAAAGATCTGACTGTCGATGGAAACTGCTGCGTAGAGGCAGATCTCCAATACACTGGGAATTTCCGAGTCGAAATCTCAGCCACCGTACGTATTGACTTGGGTCCTCGATTCAAGGCCAGGGAAGTCGATATTGTCCTTGCAGTTGTATTGAAGAAGCTAGAAGGCCACTTGTTGGTACGCTTCAAGCCTCCACCCAGTAATCGAATCTGGATGTCCTTCGAAACCATGCCCAAGATGGAGATGGACATTGAGCCTATTGTCAGCTCCAAACAAATTACATACAGTCTCATTCTGCGCACGATTGAAAGCAAGATCCGCGAGGTGGTGGCAGAGAGCATTGTTCTGCCTTTCTGGGACGATGTCCCATTCCATGATACTTTGGGACAGGCTTTCCGTGGTGGGATCTGGCAGCGGGACGCTCCAGACTCGGGTGACCAGGTAGAGATACCCGATGAATCTGGTGAAGCCCCGGCGACCCCGAAGAGTGTCGGTGGCGATCCCCTTGAAATCCTCAAGTCCAAGGATGATCGCACAATGAGCATGCCTACCCTTTCCGAGTCAGCAACGACCAAGAAAAAGCCACGCAAAGGCCCGAAATCGTCTCTCTCAGACCTGCAAACATACAGCTCAGCTGCAATTTCCACTGGCATTGAGAGGCCAGAAAGCACGCCATTGCCTCGAGCAATCCGGTCGCAGACCTTCTCTAATGCTGCAGACCCTGTGGTCACAGCAGATAATGCCAAAGTTGACAAAGTCGTCACTGAGAACAAAGGAGACGAAAAGAGCCATGCAACCAGCGCCATGATCGAGATATCAAACCGCTCCCCACCCACATCACCTAACCGAACCCCGAGTAGCTCGCCACCCACAGGTGGCATCACAGTGCCAGAAAGTGTGGTCCATAGTCGCGAGTCATCGATTGCAGAGTGTATTGACAGCGCTAACTTCCGAAATGACAATGGCATCCAAAGACCTTCTGCTACTCGAATGGAGAGCAACTCCTTCTCCAGCATGAGGAGCTCTCGGGGTAGTTCTACTACTTCGCTCATCAGCGACAAGGCTCGCCGACGCAGCACGATCGAAACCATCACCAAATCCTTCACCTCAAGCACATCATCCGATGACAAACCTTCTGGTTCTATAACGATCGGGTCAGCCACTGCTGCCGCAAAGAAATGGAGTTGGAGTGTGTTCGGCAAAGGTGATCTGAACATGGGCCAAGAATCCTCGCAGGCTCCTGCTGGCACACTTGACCAGCCCATTGGGCGTGGGCATCCTCATCCACCGCCCGGAACTCCGTTACCTCGCCCCGACAAGTATGCCTTGAAGAGAAATCCCACAAGCTTGCCCAAGCGGAAACCGGTGGGGACACACACAGAGTCTGAACGCCCAAAGACGGGAGACTCACAAGCACCACCATCACCTTTACCTCGCAGAAAACCAATGCGTCCTGGGGTGCACACTAATGAAAGCACCGATGAACTGCTTGTGGTGGAGGCACCCCAAGACTCCGAGCCAAACAGCCCGGCCCCTGGTGACCTGGACTCGGACCAGAGTCTGAAGAAATCGACTCTTGTTGAGAGTGAGACTTCTTCAAAGGCTGAGCAGTCTGGACTCGACCACGAGGAGAAAGAGGAGGCCTCTGAAGAGGCTTCCGATGTGGAACCCATAGGCTCTGTTGATCAGAAGCCTTCAACTCTAGGCAGCAACGAGGCCCTGCTATCTGAAAGACTGGAAGTGCCTGCATCGTAATGGATGTTGTTTTTGCTCAGATAACAAAGGAAATAGAGGTAGTCTGTTCTCTATATCTCCCTCTGCCTTGGTGGATACTTGGTGTTCATGGACTCATGCTGGGCTGGTTATCCCTGCATGTGATCGCTTCCTCGCATAGAGTAGTGCAAGTGCCAGTCATATAGCTATCTTCTTGTGTTAGTGGGCGACCCAAGTATCCAACATATTGTTCGCTACTTGATGCCATTTAAAAGTAGACCGTATTCTTCGTAATGTTAGAATGGCCTGCCACAATAAATACTGATTCCTGCTGCCTAGCCTCCAGTGCATGTTTGACGCGTATGCTAAAAAGCACAGCCTCTTCATTCGCAAGGGATAGAACTCACAAAGTTGAATTCTTCAAAGTGTCTCGCCCAACCCGCATCGGCTTAGGCGTCGCCAAGACTCCCGACAGGCGCCAACTTTCCCGTTCCCCATCAACGTCATTGCTCGAACTCCCACGTGTGTCTTTTTGGTGCTTCACCAATTCCCCTTCACTCTGCGTTTTGAATAATCCGATTTATCCGGTCGGCGCAAGCTCACTTAAGCGTCTCTGCGCTGTCCGGGTTCGGGATCTACCAACGCGACAGTGTTGTCCAACACTCCCACTCTTCCGCCC